AATTCATGGAATTCTAGTAAAGTAACATTTTTGAAAGAGAGAATGTGGGTCCCATGCTGCTGCCCTCATTTGACAATAGAAATCCCAGAGAACACTGGTGATTTATTTAGAGGTTTCCTGGTTTAAAAAAAAAATTTTTAAGTGATTGCCTCTTTAGCCCCCTAATTTAAGGGAAAGATCTGCCCTCCTGCGACTTCACTTGAGTATAATTTCACTGACTGGTATAAAGTGCTCATCAGATCGTGGGCAGGATCCATGAATACCGGCAGATTCAACATCTCTATTTACGGGGATGGTGAGCAGTGGGGAAAATGGCCGTCAACTCATGGCATTCTTTTTAGCAGTTCTGATCTGGATGAAATCGCTTCTCTTCCCTTAGATGTAAAAAGCGCTGGTGCTGCATTATACATAAGGATAGAGAACTGAACATTTTTCCATCAAGAACCACGAATAAATAAATCTTATGATCTCACTACTGGTGCCATAATTGAGCTAAATCGTCTTAAACTGGGCACTGTTCCTGAGGTTCTTTGAAGCACGCTCACTGTTTCTTTGAGTAAAATTGAGGGCTGACCCCCATTTACAGAAACACAGAGGCAAGGCTCATAAATACTAATATTCTGTACCAGATTCATCAGAGCAGGGCCATTTCACTGAGACGTGTAGACGTCCAGTGCATGATTTAACTCAGCGGAAAAAAGAAGGTCTTGGCTGGGTTCGCCAGCTTTCCCAATGACTGGAAGGCTCCTCCATTTGACAAAAGCGTGCTGCCAACTGAAGGTTGTTAATTACCTTCTTTGTATCTAGTTCTTAGAAGACAAATAGTTAGTAAGCAGCAACGCCACATGTTGTACAAAACACTGCCAAATGGTCTTCAAACAGAATTGGACTCTATCTTTTAAGAAGTTACTGCTTTTGTCATTTTATTTTCTATCTATCTATACAGAGTTGGTTAGTGATACTAACAAGTAGACATTTAACACATGATTCATGATGATGTTAGAGATTAAAAATCATGACGTCCAGTTCTCGTCAGGCATTTACTGCGCACGTGGCACTCAGCTAAGCATGTCATATGCATCGTCTCTTCTTATCTTCTCAACAGTCCAGCAAAGGAGCTATTCTTACCATTCCCATTTTATAGATGAGGAAACTGAGACCAAGTGAAGGTACCCAGCTTGCTCAAGGATGTGTAGCTGAAAAGTGGCGAAGTCAGGATTTAATCCCAGGTCATCAAATTCAGGTGTTGTGGAAAGAACCCTGGCAGTCACTGTCGTCAGTAGCCTCCCCTCACAAGTGAACCAGCTCAGGCCTGCGGAAATGAAGGCTCGCCTGGGCCAGGTGCTCCCTCTGGTTCCAGGCAGAGCTGGGAAGCCATCTCCTGGGTCCCTACCAACACATTTCTGTTACCGCCCTGGGGACCTCGTCTCTTTTTACCACCCAGCTGAGGCCTGTCCAGATCTTTCCTTTTGAAAACACATTTCTAAGACCCTTTGAGAAATGTCTGTGGAGGATCCTGGAGGCTGTGGGGAGAAGTAATAGGTCATGTGACACAAATGGAAAATATAGAAGCAGTTTAAAAAATAAATGAAAAGGGGGAGAACTGGAAGACAGAGCTGAGCTGAAACTGAGGAGAGCAGCCAGCAGGCCTTGTCCACAATGTGGCACTTACCCAAAGCTCACATGTGACAAACAGTCTGGATAGGTGGCTGACAGCAAATATGTAGTTGTCTTTGAAATATCAAAGATTAATTTACATTTGGAAACTTGCCCCCAAAATTAACTATGGGGATTAAAACCAGTACAGTGTTTAAGCCTGAAATGAAGCAATTAAGTCATTCTTCAGACAGGGTGGCTTTGATAGTATCAGAAACACTGAATTTGAAGAATTCAAAATACCCATAAAATCAGGCCCGTTTACAAATCGAGCATTGTTGTTGTAGTTGTCATGTTGTTATATCCAGGGTCTTTCTGGTGGTCCTAGAAAGCTGAACCACTCTAGTGGGCAGTGGGATATAAGGGGACCCAATGTGGGAACTGTGTAGTCATGTCTGTGCCAACAGCAGAGTTCCATGGAGCTGAGGGCTTAGGCTAGATCTTCTGCTTTTTCTGTTTTCAAATAGCAGTGAGCTTCCTACATATCCACGAAGAAAAGGGACACTGCATTTGGCAGGAGGGTAGGGATGGTGAAAGAGTCTGATGCTTAACCCTCTTTAGAGAAGTGATGGCAGGGCAGGGTTGTGGAAAGAACCAGAACTGCAGTCAGAAGACCTAGGGTCAAGTTTTCCTTCCCCTCATGCTAGCTTTGTGACCTTTGGTGTGTCCCTAACACTCTCTGAGCCTCAGTTCCCTTATCTGTAAAATTGGGATCATAAAATTGGGAGTAAAAGCTAATAGACATAGGGGCACCTTAGCAAGGCTCTGTCAGCAAAAGAGTGATTATTGTACCTTTCTTGATATGACATTTCTACTTCAACATGTGGCATTTTTCAGTTGGCCAAGCCCTGGTTCTCTTCCAATGCCCTGTGAATGGGTCCAGAGAGCTTTTGTGCTGGCTGCTCATTTGGAGAGCTGGGCCCCAGGAACCTTCACAGTCTGCCTCTTCTAATTCCTCCCTGCCTTTTGTGGAAACGTTCATTCTCAGCCTTTTTCTTTTGGACACTGTGATTCCCTTTGGGAGTCTGAGCACTCTTTCAGCTTCCATGGGCTTGTGTCCTGTGGCCTGGCGTCAACATTCCACGTTGAGCTCGCTTCTGACTCTGCCCACAGCTTGTCCCAACAGTTCACTGCCCAGCTGGAACAGAGTGTCGCATACTGGCCTGTGCTCCTAAGTGCAATTAAGAATAGTCTTGTTGTTAAAAACAACTGTGAAAGGAAAAGCAGGATTTGGATCTCATCATATAAAACAATTTTAAGCAACAAACTATTGGTAATTGGATTCATGAGTTTCTCTGTAATTTCAAAGCATTTACCACTTTGAACAAAGAGACATTCCTTTACAAGTATATATGACAAAAGCCATATCCAATAAAACTTTTAATCTTATAGTGTTCATAAAAGCTTTATGGTGAAAGTCGTATAAGGCTATAATATGTTTGAACATCATCTTTAATGAAAGTTGATAAATTGACATATATTTCACAGTATCATAAAAACCTTGAAGTGGAGTTTACCCAGCAGGAGTGAGTGTGGGGCTGGCCTTCCCAGTTCACTTTAGAGTGTACTAGTCAGGAAAGGTTACAGGACATTCATGAAGGGTCATTTTCCCATGGTCTCAAAAGGAAAGGAGAACCAGATATGAATAAGCATTGGGCCCTCCATCACACTGGGCAAACAAAAACATTAAAAGGTTTTACCTTTTGACTGCCTTTTTTTAATTTCCCATTGTCTAACAACTGAAATTCTGGTTGTGGGTTGAGTGGACTGACTTAGTTTCACACTGCTTTCTCTAACATCCGTTCATTACAGTCTTAACAACTGTCATGTCGCTATATCCCCTGTAAACATCTTTGACAAGGTACCACATTTGGAGAGCTAGCAGGAAGGATCTGTTTTCCCTCCTGGCTCAAACCCCGTTGCCCACCCGCCCTTCCCAGCTTGGCCCCTGCTTCCAGAGTATTTGACTCCCCAAATCAATTGTGTCAGAACCTCAATGGGCAATGTTGACTGTAGTTGTCTGGCTGTAATGTGTACCTTTGGAAGTGATATGCAGGTGCCACTGAGTCAAGCTCATATGTTTCTTGAATAGCTACTGTGTGTCCAGTACTGTACCAGATACTGGGGAGCAGAGAGAAGTGTCAGAGTGGTTCCCTGCCATTTTAGAGCTCATGATCTTGGTCGGGGAGAGAAGAGGTATGAACAAATGGTTGCCCTATCTTTCAGGATGTGGTGACTGTTGCATAAGAACTACCAAGAAGAAGGTGCTAGAAACTGAAGAGCTTGACTTGGGAGAGAGTTCTTCCATCAGGGGTGGCCAGAAGGCAGTGCAGTTTGATGGGGGCATTGGAACATGAGTAAGACTCAGTTAACGTAGGTGTTGGGAGAGGGCCTTTCAGGGCAAGTTAACAGGGTTAGCAGAGACACAGAAGTGGAAAGGTACCATCTTTTTTGGTCCACCTGCTTAAAAGTAAACCTGCTGCATGCCTGTACCTGTCAGTGATGCCCTGCATGGCTTCCTCCTGGAGGATATTCAACCACTTTCATTAGATTTAGGTTGCTGGTTCCTTGAGGTCGAGGACGGTCTCTTTTTATTTGTTTTTTATACCCCACAATGCCTGAAAGAGTGTTTTTCATGTAGTGATTAAAAGGCTATATCATTGTAAACTATATTTTTGGTATGTTTGCAGCCCCAAGAAATCCTTTTCAGTAAAGATTTCCATGGTCGTTCATATGACCTTCAAAACTTATGTCTGCATTTTTGACTGCCTGGCCGGATATTGTTCATTATGGTGATACAGCCCCTCCCCTGTGGTCCACGATGTCCAATGGGTGCTTGTACGTTTCAAGCAGGTGTGATTCCCACTGGCCAGGAGGTGTGGGAGGCAGCAGGTTAGAGGAAAGAAAAGGGAGCAGGACCCGAAGGCTGATCCAGAGAAACCAACCAACATGCTCTGTGGGGAGGTTAGAGATAGTGAGAAGTTATTTCTGGGCATGAAAAAATAAACGAAGCTCTTGAGACATTATAGAAGTTAAATGATGCAAATTATGGAGCATGGTGGAAAAAAAAAATTAAAATAGGAGGATTGTCAAGAAGCTTCAGAATGAGTCAAATTAGATTTGTGGACTGGACCATACTAAAAATATTTACTTGATGTTGAAATTTAGTATTGACAGCTAAAGTTGAAATATGTTTGTTATGTTTCTGTTTCGTGTTAAAATAAAGATGACACCCAAGTCATTGGGTGTTTTACCCCCCTTGGAATCCTAGGATACAATGCCCTGTAAATGTCAGAACGACAGATAGGCAGCGCTTGATTCTCCCTTGTGCTTTCTCACTGCAGGAAATGGAAGAAGTAGCCCCTCGCCCTATGGGTTCCGTCTCTCACCAGAAGAAGAAATGAGGAGACAACGGCTTCACAGATTTGACGGCCAGTGAGGTGGCACAGCATCTCAGGCAAATAAGACCCAGTCGTGTGATTATTGCCCGATTGGTTTATTCCCCAAGCCCCTACTTGGTCTTAAACAAAAGCAGAGTGCACTATTATCGTCCCAGATTGCTCACATCTGCCTTGGCTGCTGTGAATCTAGATTCACAAGCACATTGACTTATCTTGAAAGCAGACTTGTTGAATGTAGCTCACAGCTCTCTGGGAGCGGCCCTTCTCCTGGCCTCTTCTCTCTCACAAACAGGTCAGTTGCTCCACGTAGGGACCAGTTTCCATGCTCTAGTCTCTCCCTGCCAACTCAGCGGTGCCTCTGCCTTGTTTTGGTTTGAAAGACTGTGACCTTCAGCAGGAGGTTCGTTTTCACCAGCCCGGAAGATCAGGCCCTCATTCTGCCCGGCGTGCCCAATGTTTGACTTGGCAGGAAGTGCCATCCCTCATCCTCCTGGCACGTTGCCATGGTGACTTTCCAGGAATGGGTTGTGGCCACCATAGCAGTATGCTGTTTGAGTCTCCCGTTGGCCCCTGCGTCTGGGTGGTGTTGACAGCGTACCAGCTTTGCTCCTATATTGCTCTTCCTTTAAAAAAGCTCGAGCAAGACCTCAGGTGGGAAAGCCACCTACACGCGCCATTAGATGTCAGGTGGCACCAACAATTTGGGCTCACAGCAGCCCTTCCAGGGGCAATATACGTTCTCGGGGATGTGACTTGTGTTAATCAGGAAAGCAGCAGCAGGTGCCACATGCAGAGTGGAGCAGTGGCGTGCAGTGGGTTGGTCACTGAGAAATGCTTCTTGAGGAAGTATTTTTTTCCTCATAAAAGTGCCTTTTAAATGGCCACTGTGACAGCCACTTGTCCTGCCCAAGTGTCCAGGACACTCCCCTGACTCCTGCTGTGTTATAACCCACAGACCGTCCAGGTCACTTAAGGTGCCTCGTGGTGCTTGTGTTTCGTGAATAAAATGACCAAGTCAGATATCACTGATGTCTTATTGTCACTGAGATATTTATTTTTAAAGAGACTTGGAAGCAGAAAAGGATCTTCCTATTTTGATTTATCTAGCATTTATATTTAGTTTTCTGATTATGAAAGTACTATATGTGCCTTATACGTGCACACAGCTAACATCTGGAAGGAAATATACCCATATGTTAATGGCAGTTATTTTGGGAGTAGAGAACATAGGATTTTGCTTGCTGTCTTTTTACAATTTTATACTGCAGTCTTTTAAAAATATGTGTATGTGTATGTACTTGTATTACTTCCGCAATCAGGAAAACTGATTTATATAATAATAAATCAAGAAATCTATAATCAGGAAAATGGACTTAATAAGTACTGTCTCCATTGAGAAAATTCACAATATAAACAGAAATACAAATAAATACGTGTACAATTTTAAAATCACTTCTATTCCCACCACTTACAGGTGCCCAGGGTTAACATTTTGGGGCATTGCTTTCTCAGGTTTCTTTGTATACATTTGACAAATTTGGAGCATACGAACTATGCAGTTGTGTATCCAGTTCCTAACCTGAACTGACCTGGGAGAAGCGTTGCCACCTGCATATAAATGAGCTAAGAAACCACTTGCATCCTGGGAACGCTTTGACCTGCCGGCTGGCACCATGATACCTGAGCTCCTTGGGTTAATTTATAATTGATGTAAAGCTACAGCTTGTTTCTCATATGAATCGTATCTGTGAGTCTGGTAACTTTAAACGTGTTTAAATTAATATGTTCAAGCTAAATGTCATTCCTCTCTCCCCCAAACTCTACAAATTTGACCCCAATCCTCCCCATTAGAAGTAACCTCATTCTTACACGCCATCTTCTCCAAGTATTGAAAAGGTAATTCTGTGGTGACACTTATATCTTGCCCTTATTATTATTTGTGCACAGCTACACAAAGACGTGCCTTCTACACTGGAGTGTGGCTTATGCATGGCCCTGGGATGAGGCCTGTGTCTTATCTTTCTACACTTTCCTCCTCTCCCCCTTCACCAACCCAAAGGCTGGCCCTGGGTGCTGGGAGGGACTCATTAAATGTTTTTCCAACCATTGTTTCTTCAATTGCATTAAAAGTTCAACCACTATATATGGGAGTATTTTTTCTTTTTATTGCTACTGTGTCCAATAATAGAAGCTCCTTGCTCTATTTGACATGTCAGATACAAGGACATCAGAATTGGATTTTGGATGGTATAACTAGAATATATACACCTTCTTTATGGAGTGGAACATGACTAAACTTTTAGAGATGTGGGAAAGACCACTTTAGTTATAAATATAAACCAGTTATCTTAGCACAACAGTAAAGATGTTCTGGAAATTATTATAATTACTTTGTTCAGTTAATAGGCTTGCCTGTAACCAGTGCTTATTATTTTCCATGTCTGTCTTGGTTTTTTCCTACAATAAAGAATCTCCAAAGTTATGCCGACAAACTGGAATTGGATTGAGAAAGACCAGCAAAAGCAAGGGTATTCGACTGATTATCTCTAAGAGTGAATAAGCATTTAGAGCTGGTTTTTAAATTTGGTTTCTTTGCTGAATAGTAATTTCCTGATTATTTGTTAAGCATCCAGTTCCCACAGTTTGGTTGTGGTCAGTCAACTTAAGAGACCTCTTCTTTCAGAATCTTTCCTTGGTTCTCAAGACAAGGGAGTGGTTAAAATTGCTTCCTCTTAATGACCTTGAACGTGATCCCAAAGTTGTACGTGATTGTTCAAGCCTCCTCCATCCTTTTAAGTTGTCTGCCGCTAAGGCTCAAGCAGTAAATGTCTGGTTTCCGTAGGATCGGGGATAGTCTGCACATCTGGCCCATGTTCTGCCACTGGGGAGGGAGTAAGCTAAAGGGATGAGATGCACCACCCAAAACAGACTATAAGAGAGAGAGGCTGATGCAGACCCAGCCTCCTCGTTCATAGTTAGTTATCTTTAAAAAAAAACATATCATTTCTTCCTTTCCCTTCCCGTGGATTATTGCAGTCATTTCCTAATTTTTAGCCCCTGCCCTCTCATTTTAGAATCACAGTCTCTCTGCTTAGAAGGATCTTAAAATTTCTCAATTCATTGCTCTGCTCAGTACTTAAAATACCTCTTCAGTCAGTTCTACAGAGCTCTGCCAGTTAATCTTCCAAAATCTATTCTTGATACTACTCATCATCTCAGTACCTTTTATCGTCTATCTGTTGCCAAAGGATAAAGGTCAGACTCCTTAGCCTCAACCATGGGGCTCCAGCCAGCCTTTCGACCTCATCTTCACGTATCCATAACAGAGTCTGCGCTTCTGCTAACTTGTCTCACTGCCCAAGCTGTGAGCCTTCCTGACCCTGTGACTTAATCATGATGTTTTCACATGAGACAGCCTTTTCCTCTTTCTCGCCCCATCCAGATCCTCCCTGTTCTGACCCCAGACACTGCAGCCTAGAAGGATCCACCCCATTAGATCTGCTGCTCTGCTTGGGTGTTCGTCTCAGTAACGCACCTTACATTTTATATCTCGTAGTTGTATCTCTTTTAATCCTCAGAACAACCCTGTGAAGCATGTGGTCTCATTCTCCTTCAACAAATGGGACAACTGAGGCCCCGAGGGTCTGAGCCCCAGCCCACTCCCCACACAGCTCACTGGTGGCTGATGCAGACCCTCTGGCCTGAGGCCTGGTTTCATGTCCGTCCCCCACCCCATCATTAGCAGGACAATGCTTCTCAGAGCCTCAGAATCCCATCCTTTCCCCAGTAAAGGGGATCACTCTCTGTACTCTGCCCTCACTCTTCCCATCTGCAGTTCACACTTCTACCATGTAACCTGTTTTCCCCACTAAGCCAGCTGCAAGGTGAGTCATCTTAGAGGCAGGTAGAAAAGTAAACTTGGCTTGAACGAAAAGAAATGCACCAGATAAAACCCAGTTGTTTTTGGAGGTCATAACAGAATTTTATGTATAATAAACGATATTATAAATTGTAATGCAACAAAGGTTTAAGTGTCAATAGCAGACCAGGCATCTTGCAAATGTTACATGTTGAAAGTCTTTAACTTTACAACCGTAGGTTAGAGAAAGGGATGCAATTTATTGGATATGTTTCACATTTTTTTCCTATGAATCATTAAATATTTAAGCACCATAAAATTCAAGCATTTCACATGGATGTGGCAGCCAGCCTTGGTGGTTTAAAATGCATTATGCAGAGTCTCTGGCAGATAATAACAGTGACAATTGCAGAGTACTGATTTTTAATGTCAATTGTTTTGTTCCCTGCAGAACTTCCTGATAATGTCCCTGCAGGAAATTGTGATTTTTCGCGTGAGGTACAGTAACTTTGAGAATTGAAATAAAATAGCATTCCCAAAGACATTAAGAATTGGCCAGGTATAAATAACTCTAATCAGTAATTTATATGCCCTGTGAGAATCATAATATAATTCCACCATGGAAAAAAACCCAGGAAATATTTTTCATATTAAATGGTTTGTTTTAAATAGAAGATGTGACCATAATAAATACACGATGACTGCTATGTGCTAGGCACAGAATCTAACTTAATTTTCAGTGCAAGTGTAGGTGTTATGTCCCATTGTGTAAATGAGGAAAATGGGGCCCTGGGAGTTGGTGTAACTCGCCCAGGGAAACACAGCTGGAAGATGAAAGAGGTGGATTCAAACCTGGGCTCAACAAACTCTGAAGTCCACATCTTTCTACTCTTCTTGCAGCCGTGACAAAAAACCCAGAAAAACACAATTATCAGATTAGTTTGCTGAGCTGATAGAAACACAAATCTAATGGAATTTCCTGGAACACATAGGATGATTTGCTTTATTATAATCTATAAGAGGCTCAAAATAAAATCTTTGATAAAATCCGGTTTTAGTGGACCATTGCATTGACTATTTTCCTAAGCACCGATAACACGTGTACAGACTTTGTAGACGCGATCTTGTACCAGGAATCCCTTCTCTCATGAGGGAATACAGGTTACAGCATGAGTTAAGTCATGTCACGCTTCAGTGAAGAGTCTTCTCTCAGCCAGACCTCTCCAATCTTATCCCTGAAATTTCAGTTTATGGAAAAGGAAGCTATTTTTCAGGAGGAGGTGATGGTTAAAGCTTATCAATTGGCTTTCTGTTGATAAGTGTAAGAGAAGATTGTGGGTGGGCCGATGATTGTCACATTCTAATATCTTGCAATAAGAAATGGTTCATACTTGTTACCATTTTGTCAATAAGAACCCTACAGGCAGAGGTGAACATTTAATGCCTAATGACGCTTATGGAGTTGTCATTGAAAAAAGAATCGTGTCAATAATGTGCTCAGTTCTGCATAGGCACTGGGCGTATAAGTGAGTAAAGCATGATCCCTGCCCTCGTGGGGCTTACAGTTTAGTAAGAGAGTGAAGGAAGTGGGATGAGACACTACAGGAGCAATGGGGGAACGAAGACAGCGGACGGGCCCATTATTTGTACTGGGAGCAGCAGAAGGCAGTCCAGGTCTTCCTTGGGAAATTCCCAGACACACACCCCAACTGATGTAGTCTTTAAAGATAAGTAGTTGCCTGCCAGGTAAAATTACCTGAGACGGGACATCACTGGTAGAAAGAGCAGGAGCGAAGTCATAGAGATAGGAACGTGGCTCTGCAGTGAGCATAGAGCTGAGTGATGACAGATCCTGCAGGCCCATTCACCCTGGGCCTGTCATTTGGACTTCATAGGCAGGGCAGTCATTGAAGGATTTTAAGGCAAAGAAGAACAAAATCAGACTGGGATTTGAAACTGGAGGCATCAGCTGGGAGATGCCTACGACAAGAGCATGGGTGAAAGACAAAGGCTGTGTCAGGATGGGTGCAGTGAGGCCGGCAGGAAGGCAGCAATCCACAGGAAGAGGTGACTGCAGTTTAGGTCTGGGGACCACGAGAGGAGAAGGACCAGGCCACCATTTGCAGCATGGAGGCCTGGATACCTAGATGGATGGGGCTCCACTCACTGAGAATAAGAACCCAGAAGAAAACGCCCTGTCCCCCAGCAGTGACCCAAAGCAATTCCCAGTGGGCAGTCTAGAGACATTGCAGCCAACAACATGAGGGGAGTTCTTAGGAAGGAGCTTTTGATAAGGATAATAGCCATCCGTGACGGCTTAGGAGAGCAACTTTAAAGCTTTGTTCATCCTTCACAGAGAAAGGATATTTCAAAGTGCATTGATATATAACCAAGTAAGGAAAAGCATCATTTAAAATAACATAGTCTTCTTTTCCAAGAAGTTATTTTTTCCATTGTTTTGCCCTTTAGATCATTCAAAATCAGAAGGCAGCATTTATGCTGCGTTTAGAGAGGCCTCTTGCAATATTAATATTTTGAACAGTCTCATACACCATCCCAGGCTCACCATGGAGTAAACTGTCCGCTTAATTCAGCCTGGTTTTTTGAAAAATTTGTTTGACACGCTATTAGGATAATATTCTAATACCAAAGTTAAAATGTTTAAAATAATTTAGCAAGCATGATATGTTTCATAAGTTCCATTGGTCACCCCCAGCTCTTCCCAGAAAATGTCCTCAAACCAAGTTCATGAATGAACAAGGTGAAATTTTAGAAGGCTTGGCTTTTGGTAGCATGCAATAAAGCTTTTGGAAACAGAAAAGTGTCATTACAAATAAGGTTGAAATTGGCTTAAATTTCAGGTGCACAAAAATTTCAGCATGCCATAGAACAGTTAAAAAAATCAATAAACGGGTCAAATGAACTAGGAAATATTCTGCTACATCAAGAAAATATTTCACCTTAAAATGTACATTTTTCTGTTTACCAGAAACTATTATTCTTAAACTGCCATCCCGGGGGCAACCCATAGCAAATCTCACTTGAAATATTTTCTTGATATAAGCGTTCATTCCTAATCACTGTTTGGCAAAGAAAACATTTCTCATGAACAAAGTTTTAATTGAGTTTTTCTTCTCGCTGTTATTTTTGAGTGCATTGAAATTAAGCACTAAAATAAGTGTTACTCTCTCATAAGAAATTTCTTTAGTTTCCTCTAAAATGACATTTTTTTTTAAATGAGGAAGTCAAGTTTCCGGAAACTCTTTTCCAACAAACTTTCATTTTTAGGATTAGACCACTGAATTCCTAGCAAAATAGAAAACGTATCCTTTGCTATTCAGAAAACTACTCATTATAAATTAACACACCTAAACTTTTATAGAGAATACGAATGCCAAATGTCAAACTGCTACCTTGGTGTAAAACTGATGCAACAGATAAAAATGTTTTGAAAATTGGGAAAACAGGATGATTCTCCTATAAAAACCAATCATATAAAATTCAAATGGTAAGCTGTCTTTGTTTCATTTAAAATACTGCTGTGTCTTCCTGGTGGGGTGACCGTGAGTTAAATGAATCTTCTTACCTAAGTTTAATTAAGTCAGCCCTTCATTTTCTCCCAAGTGCATAATGATAGCTCTGTCACTTCTCTGTCTCAGATGCCATTATGTGTATAGAGGGAAAGTGTCCACTGCGGGCTGCGAGGCAGCTCTGCAGGCATTCCCAAGTTGGGGAGCGAGAGGCTTTGTGTGAGCCGTGTGCCGCCTGAGTAAGCCCCATGTGGCTTCAGTCCCATTAGCACGCATACACCAAAGACGAGCTGGACCCCGACTGGGGAAAAGCCTTCTGTTTGGAAGTTCACTGCAATGGGGAGTCAATTTTTGCGAATCACTGCTTTAATATTCATTGATAGCTTTTAGGCTCTTAATCCCTTATTGAATATATTTTTTCCATAATTGCTACTTTTCAAAAGGGCTGCCAAAGTAGGCATTTCTATTCTCTGAAAAATGCAGAAGAGAATATGATGTTTCATGCTCATCTGTGATGTGTTTATGCTAATGTCGCATCTCTGGAATACGGCGACTGTGGCCCTTCCTGGCATAATGATTCACTCTGCTTTGAAATGAACTGTTAACGCCGGCCGTGTGGATTTTTTTTTTTTTTAATCTCCTTGGGTCATGGTTTTACAATTATTTAAAGTGCATGGAAAAATAGATTACAGAGGAAATCATTTTGAAATGTTGGAAATCTCTACTTTCTCGTTTCATTTGTTGTCCTATTTATTTTTTCCTGTAAAATCCATGCAGAAGCCCTCTCTATTATAGAGTAATTGACTTCACTTGTTTGAGGTGCTATTAACCAATGAATGAAGTTTTCAGTAATGTAATTTGTAATCTGGCCTTTATCATCTATTTGCCTTGCTGTGAATTAGCATATTTTTAAATAAAGCCAGCTCTTCCACCATGCTTAATAAAATACAAATATCTGGGTTTCATTTAGATTGGTAAGTCCAAGCAAATCCATACGTGTAGCATTTGCTTAATCCATCCTGAACAGAGGAAGGAATTACAGTACTGTGGAAATAACCACATTGAAACAGAAGGAACAGCTGAGGCTGGAGTCTGAAATGAGCACCATTAAATCTCTTAGCACAGCCTAGGAAGGCTTAGCCCCCTAGGAAGGTGTCTGTTGGCGACATGATGGCGAATTGTGGGTTCTCTAGCCATACTTCAGACAGACCTGGCACCTGCTGATTTTCTGGCGCTGGGCCTGGCTTTCTTTTAAGGTGTCTGGTGATGGTGCCGAGGAGAACTCCAAGTCGGGTTTCACTGTTGTCAGCCAGAAGCTATACTCATTTGCAAAAAAGTGGCAAGTGCCCTGCCGGCCTTGGCATTCAAGGAATGGTGCCGCTCTGAAGTCCTCCAGGCAGCTGCCAGGTGACATGAGGGCCTGCCCTCCTCCTTGGTCCCCAGCTCCTGTGTGCTACCCAGACGACAAGAGAGAATTAGGGCTCAGACACACGCGGACAACCCCAGACCCAATCGGTGACGTGCTGAGGTCTGGGCCTGACTTCACCTTTGCCCTGAAATTATTCCAGGAAGAACAAACTACAATCTGCTGAGGGAAGGAGAAGTAGTGGACGTGTTGGGTGTGCACACAAAATTAAACCACTCTTACTGAGGACTGAAGCAAATTCATCTTCTAAAGCCTACTGAAGTGATAAAACAATTCATTGACCATAAGAAAAAAGGAATGGCCCTGCATCTCAACAGGTGGCCTTCATGACCACACATCCTACTGCTGTCCGTCTGTCTGTACAGAGTTCTCAGAATTACTGTCCAATCCAGATGGAAGGGGCAGGAGAGGGGTGTTACAGCATGGTGGGTATGCAGGGGCTCACCATCAGGAATGAGTACCCGATCCAAAGGCTCTTCCAGGTCCGCGGACACGCGGGGATGGACTGGTCCTGGCTGTGCACCGCCACCGCCTGAGCCGGGGCCTCACACACAGCACAGCGGCTGATGTAGGGGCGGATCTCCTCTTCCGAGAGTGGCATCATGGGCAGGGGTGCAGCGCTGGCCAGCCAATAGGATCTGTCATTTCTCTGGGCATAGTGGCACACTTGGTGGATGTTGCAGTAGGCAAAGGGCAGTGTACTAAACACAGGAAGGCAAGATCCCGCCAGGCCTTGGGAGGGAAGAAGGGACAGTGTGGTATATGAGCAGCCTGCCCTGGTGGGCCCAGTGACCCTTCCTATGCGTGCCATTTGCAGACACACATTCTGGTGTATGGAGGCCATTGCCAAAGCCTATTCTGTGGTAGTGAAAGCAGGTTATGTGCCTGACCATTTCTGCCACGTCCCTGGTCCCATGAGCCAGCCCTCATTCACCATCCACTCATCACTCATGAGCCAAGTAAGGGACCAGCTGCTGGAAATAGAGCAGTAAGCCCACCTGTCTTCACAAAGCTCATAGCCTGGCCTGGCGGGGGAGATGGATGAGCCAACAGGCAATGAAAATACAGCATGATAAGCCCTATGAATGAGAAGTGTGGGGCACCGGGACTTATGGGATGGATAATGGGAAGAAGTGATTTTAAGCTAGGACCTAAAATATGAAAAGGATTTGGCCAGGTTTGGAGATGGTGTTGACCATCTAAAGAAGAGGAGACAACAGTACATAGGGCCAGAGGTAATAAAGGAGCATGGAGCTCAAAGAACTCAAAGAAGTTCAGTGCGGAGAAGGTGGGGAGAGGATGTCTGTGTGTCTGTCTGTCTCAAGGGTGTGCAGAGAGAAATCAGACCAAAGGATGTGGGCTTTGTCAATCTTGATAAGAAGTTTACATTTTATTCCAAGAGCTCTACAGAGCTTTTCGATGTACACTCTGGCTAGACCAGGGCAGGAGAAACCAGACTAGTGGGATAGAGACTAGGCAGGAAAGAGACTGATGGCAGAAGGGAGAGGAGGAAAGAAGTCAATAGAGTTAAGATATGAAATGTTACTTCTTCCCTTCCCCCAGGCCCCTCTGATGGCGAAGGCCTTGGCTGAACCCAAAGGAGAAATGGAGAGGGATGTGTAAGTAGCCGCCATCCCTAGGCCTGCATCTTTGACAACCCCAGCTAATAGTGAGGCTCGTGGCCAGCGAGAGCAGTGACAAGACTCCCCTCACCATCACCTGTCCCTGTTGGCATATCCTTCCTGCACCCGCCACCCCAACCACCATTATCTTGGAAAAATAGTGTTTGCCATCACTCAGGTACTTAACCCCTTGGCTTGAAATCAGTCCCTGCAGCTTACAACTCTACTCTTGAAAACTGACAAGTCCCAAGGGATGACGCTCAAATTAAAGTCCTGGAATTTAGAAACAAATTGGAGTAGGGCGGGGAGTTGGTGCTGGCCAGTGCCACCCCCTACAATGGTCAGGGTGCTGTCCCTGCACCATTTCACTCAGAAACTCAGGAACTGACCACATCCTGATTCAATAAGTTACATTTGGAAGTAAAAATTGCATTTTATGTCAGAGTTACATTTACCTTACTGAGGAGGAATCACTTTTTTAAAATTAGTAAGTAGCCAGATAATAATAATGGCCACCAGAATGAGCTTCTTCGGCACCTCATGGGATCAGAGCTTTAATAGAATTTGTTGAAAATTGGCACGTTAGTTTAAAAAGAAAAAATTCCATAGAAGATGAGTGATCATTGAAGATGCTGACGAATCTATAAAATTTACCTTGAAGTTTTACTCTTAAGTCTGGACATGGGTGACCAGGTGCTATATACATACCGAGGTCTTGATTGTGAGCTTTCTCCTGCCCTTCCAGGTATAACAGACTATAGCCCGTCCAGAGCTTGGGCATGCCCACGGGGCAGGTGGGCTCTCCATCTGTCTGACTGTGGAGAACCAGGAGGAAGCCACTGAGGTATCCAGGGCCAAGCCCTTTGGGCCCAGGATCCCCAGTGGGCCCAGGAGGGCCTGGAGGAATAAGAAAAAACAATGAAGGCAGTTTAGGGGGTTCAGGTTAACAAACATTTCTGAGCACCTCTATTCTGGTGCTGTGCATGCCTCGGCCACTCCCAGGCATGCCCCCTCATATAACTGTAATATCTACAGAGAACTCATTCAGCAAGGATTTGTTCTGAGCAACCTCTAGTGCTTGGGCTACATTAGCATAAAAACAGACAATAATCCCATCCTTCCCAGAGCTGACATTCTACTTGAAGAGAAATGACAATCAATAAGCATAATAAAAAGGTAAATTATGAAATACGTTGGAAAGTGACGAATACTGAGAAGAAAAGACCTAGAAGAGAATAATGGCACTCTCCATGTGTGATCTCCCAGCCTTCTCAGACTGGACCAGGCCCGCTCGTATGAAAAGTGATTCTCAAAGTCCGTCCTTCTTACCCCTCCTAGATGTTTCTTACGGTCCCGCCCATTAACAGTTCTATTCTAAGAAGGACAAGGACTTGAGGTCCACATGTACAACTTGGATCTCTTCTTTTATGAAGGAGGATGGTGGAAGGAAGGCCTGGTTCTAGAGTTCTTGTTGGAAGGCCTGGTTCTAGAATTCTTGTTGGTAGATGGGAAATGAGCAGTTTGACAGCAGCGAGCAGAGTCTGTCTCTTTGGCATCTCTAAGGGGCTGGCTTATTGAAGAAGGCCAATGGCTATTTCTAATTGCCAAGAGCGAATAGTGAAGTTTGACTTTGAAACCAAAAGTTGTTTTTTTTTTTAACTTGTTTCTGGAAGACTCGCAGTCTCTCCCCATCTACACTGTAAACCAGAGGTTAGGAAGTGGTAGCGTGTGGACTGAATCAGGCCTGCTCATCCATTTCGTGTGACCTGTCAAGATCTCACAGGTTGAGGTTTTGGATTTGAAAAGCAGAGTGTAGGGAACGTGGCCCCGCATTTCTACAGGGCAACAGTTGGCTTTAGCTGGGCTGCAGCTTTCAGACTGCACGGTCCATTTTGCCCTAGGCCCCACCCAGCCCTCTTGGCTCTTTCTCATGACTAACCTGGTATTGCCAGATACTCTCCAAAAATGAGACTGTCTCTTGGAGTCTTTGGGATTCTGTGGCCTAACAGGTTGCCTGGTGCATTAGATTTCAAATCTCTATTCTGAAGAGTCATCTCTCCCCTCACCTAGTGCCCATGCCCACATTATTTTCTTCAGAAATAGCCTTTATTCTATATAAATTTATCCATGGCTCTACAATAAGATGGAGTGAATTCAGAGTACCAGAGGCCAAGCAATTCAGCCAATTGCAGAGGGTGAGACCACCCCCCACCCCCCACTCCCCGTCCCCAGGATCTTCAGCATAGCCTGTCAACGGTGATCACACAACAAATGACGGGCTGACCTTGGAAAAGTGAACAGCTGAAATGGCTGAGCCTTTTATGATCATGTATGGTGGTTTGGGCAAATACTAAACTGGAGACAGGGTCTTGACTTGTTTTTATGATAGGCGAGAATCAACTGGAACGTGGTGGATACACTCTGTTCTGTTCTTGTTGCTTCTGTCTCCTTAATACCTGATGAGTTGGTATCTAAGACTATTAATAGGATCAGTTTGGAAAGCTGCTTGAGAGGCCACAGATCTTATATACAGTTCTCACATCTACTGTGTCAGGGAAAAGAAGAGAAACAAACTCCTTACCTGGTGCTCCAGGGCAGCCAGCTTCTCCCATGTCACCTTTGTGTCCTGGAGGCCCGGGAGACCCAGGGATGCCATCCTCGCCCCTCCTGCCATCCAGCCCAGGCTCTCCTTTGCACCCTGCACAAAATTGCATGATGGCAGTGGTGAAAACAATATGACACCCGCTAGCATTTACTGCAGGTACACCATGTGCCAGCCCTGGGCGTCCCATTTTCACTTGACTGTATTAGCTCATTTCATCCTCCCAGGTACGTGAACTTGGGACTAGACTATCTCCACTTGGCAATGGGGTCACTGAGGCTCTGAGAGGTCAAGTACCTTGCTTAATTAAGGTCAATGAGCCAGTAACAGGCAGAGCCAGGATTTGAAGCCAAACCAGGGAGGTGTTGAGAAAGAGGTTTTTACACGTCCTTCATATTCTTGTATATTTGAGGGTTTTTTACATTGAACATGTATAGCTTTTATAATTAAATATTTTCCTTAATAATAATTTTTTAGAAGCCTGAATAGAAGAATGAATGAAATTTAATAGGATTCAGCTCGGGGTCAAGTTAAATTTAGAGCAAGCTAAGGGCAGTGATTTTTAAAAACAACTTTTTAAGTCTTTACAAGGTGTGAGGTACCACACTAATCCCTCTATATGGATTACCCAATCCCGTCTTCCCAGGACCCATATGTGTAGGTGCTCTCCTATGCCAGACTACACTAGGGAGACCGAGGCTCAGAAAGGTCACAGCGCCGATCACTTGTGGAGAGGAGCCAGGCCCAGGCAGGCTGTGTGCAGACTGCCATCACTCTCCAGCCCCTGCCTGGTGACAGCTGCAGGGCTCAGGTGCCCTCCTTAGAGGACATAAGCTGGGGGACTTGGCAGCAGACGCACTGATTCTTGAAGTGTTGGGTTCTTTAAGTGCTGGGTTGCTTTGGGCCAAGACATCAATTCATTAGCCACAATCTCCTTTGGTCAGAGTAACTGATATGGTCCTTGTCTATGAGGGGTTTTATTGCCATTAGCCCTAATTCCCGAATTACTAGCCCTCTCAAGTTTTCCAGTCTCCACCTATTATTCTTTCTCCCTCTCTCCCTTCCTGTCTCTCTCTGTCTCTGTTTTCTCTCTCTCTCTGCCACAAATTAGCCTAAAAGTGACCGTTAAGTCCAAGAGGGCTCACTTGAGAAGCTTTCACTCTTTTTCATTCTTGGATTTGTTCTTCAAGGGAATGGGGAGCCACTTGAGGGTTCAGAGCAGGGGCTTGCTGTTCTCAGGTGACAGGTGGACATCTCTCTGGACTTCTCTCTCACACAGGCCCCCTCTTACAGCCAGCTGAAAGGCATGCCCCACGAAACCTCACTGCTTTTAAATTTTTGTTCTAATATCACCTGCCCAAGAGTGTCCCCACAACCAGCTAGTCCTCCCCTCCACATCCTTCATCGGTCCAACTACGTTCAGTGTAGTCCTTGCAGGCGTTCCTGGCTTTGGGGATGCTGTCGTCTCGCTTTCTCACCCCAATTAGAAACGAATTCTCTTGGAATGTCGTGCAGTGCCTGGACTGCCTTCTCTACATGGTTCTCATTCCGTAAGTGAGAAAGGAAACCTCTCCTTCTCCCCATCTGCATGAGAGACATCCTCTCCTTTCTAGTAACTGGGCAGAAACCTCCTCTTCCTGGATGGCGCTGCTGTATGCGAATTGGCGCATCTCTTTCCTCCAGCTTCAAAGAGAATACCCGTTATTTGGGAAGGAACATAAGGACCCAACTGTGAGCTCAGAGCATTCTTTTATCTCACCCACCCGACAAGATGATTCCAATATGTGGCCACTGTGCTGTTCTAGAAAGGGCTGCCCAAGTGCTGACAAGCCAGTGAATGGACTTATCATTCAAAAGGCAGTAGGCTTCCTCCTGAAGTGTCAACATGTGGCGAGTTCACTGTCAATCTGGGAAAAGAGATCCCTTGTCAGATGTTCTAATATAGGCTTTGCTCCCTTTAGGGGAAGACAGAGAAATTGTCAGGTGGATGATTTTTCTGAGAGACAGGAAGGAAGGCTTTTGTTAGCCTACGTTGGTATGCCCAGAGCTTTCCACTACGAGGACTTGTTCTCTACTTGGAACTTGTTTGATAGAACGGAACTGCATCTCAGAGCCCTCCAATGTTCCATGGATGACTTCCTGGGAGAGGGTCACGTGTTGACTTGAAGATAAACACATGCTCACAGGATATGGGTACTTCCATTAGGAAGTAACAGTTCAAACCAAAATGGAGACCACCTTTGTGTTCCTCACAGGAAGCCAGCCTCTGAGGCCCACCCGGGAAGGGGAAGTGGTCTCCCACATTGTGGGAGTAGAAAAGAGTTAGACCTTCCATGGTGGAGGACTCTTAACAGACGCAAGTTATACTTAGTAGTGGCCGTTACCCACCCAGACTGGGCAGGAAAGAGCCAGAAGTTTGTTTTTTTCTATGTAGATCTCAGCCGCAGCACTTGGTTACAAAATCAGCTTAGCAATGAAAGAGGTTTTGAAGGGAAAACAGGAAGAAACCAACAATGGCATTTTAAGTGGAGGTGGTACTTCCTAGTGGCAGCTGATCATTCACAACCGACCTCGGGGGTGGCATATACAGTCCCTCACATCCTGCCAGAAGAACTGCCTTCAGAAAAGGACACATGGCAAGCAACAGGCCCTGCAGATGACTCAAGTCAGCCAGGGCTGGGCCACTGCAGAGCCTTAAAATAGACTCCTCATTGTTTAGTAACGGGAAAGAATGGCCAGTGCATCCAGGGTGGCCAGCAGGAACAGACATGGAGAGGGAACCAAGGAATATATTGCTGACAAAGAGCAGTGCTTTATAACAATGGCTGGGAGCCCACATCAGAGAAGAGGGGGCCCAGAAGAAAGCAGCAACTTAGGATAGGTCTTCAGGGAAGCTGGGCCACGGAGCAGGACAGCCCACGCCGGGAGACCATGGGGAAGAATGGGTCAAGCTTTGCAGGAAGGGCTGTGCACTTTTTTTTTTAATGTAACAGTCACATTGCTTGGCACAAGGGTGGCCTCAGGGTGTCCCTAGTGCCAGCAGGCAGGGTCCGTGACATCAATAAGGAGAAGGCACAGGAAGCCACAGACGATCCTCCTCTGGCCACCTGCGGCTGGATGAGCCCATCCGACCCCAAGTCAGGAGGAATTAGAGATGGCAGGCAGTCACGCCTGGGCCCACATAGACTGTTGGCTTCTTTCAGAAGCTGAAAATCTATGGAGAAAGAATCTCGTATGTGCCCAAGATAACTATTAAGTTAAACTGTACAAAATTTGCCCATTTGATTTTTTTTCTCCTCCATTCCTTTCTTTAGTTATTTTCCAAAGCCACCACAATGGGAGAATCCAACCATCCTCTGGTCTCAGTTTTGATGTTGGGATGAAGCAGTGGGTCTCAACCTTGGCTGCATGCTACAGTTGTCTGGGCAGCTTTGCGAAAACACTGATGCTCAGGCTCGCCTCCCTCTGCCGTCTCCTGGTCTGGAATGAGGCCCGGGCATCAGGATTTCTTCAAGGTCCACCAGATGACTTTAACCTACAGCTGAAATTGAGTCACTGGGGAAGGTGTCACTCTTAGCCGACTCTTTTAGGGATGGCATTCATATAATATAGTTAGGGTTTCTCAAACTTGAACATATATACAAATATTCTGGGAATCTTGTTAAAACGCAGATTCTAATTCGGTAGGTCAGAGGCGTGGCCTGAGTTGCTACTGGTTGTCAGACCACACGTTGGGTAGCCAGGCTGTAGCTCACTCTTAGTTACCAGGTCATTGGCCAACCCGCCCCTTCTGTGCTCCTGCTCTCTGCCTGTTGGACAGTTCTGGACCCTCAAACGCAATCTTTCCTTGAAGCTTCTGCTCAAATGCCAGCTCTTGCTGGGGTCTCAGCAGTCCTGTAATCCTCCACACTGGAATTCACCTCTCCCCGTCCCATTCTCCAGATGCCTTTTGCCTGAATTCCTTTAAAACACAAATTATAATCTCCCATTATTTAGAGTGATTTATGTTCTGCCGGCTATTTCTACTATGAGGTTGTGAGACCCTGGAGCGGGAAAAAACACGTCTTACTCACATTTGTATTGACCACAACACCTAGTACTCTACTTTACAAAGAGTAGGGGGCACCTGGAAGTGTTTACTGAGTTGAATTTGCAGAACTCCATGTTAGGCCACATCTTTCACTGGAAAGTTATTTTTCCAAAGGTGGGGGGACCCGGCCCTCAATATTGCAAATATATACACAACAAGGGAGCTTAGTTTTAAAATAAGGCTGAGCGACAAGTTATACTGACTGACTGAGAGATTTATCCATGCAATGAGTGCCAAAGAAAAGAGAAGTTAAGTAACTACTCTCAATTTCCAGTGTTTGTGAACTGTTAAAGGAAGTTGCTCCAGTCAACACCCAATTAACTTAGTGCACAAACACAGATGCAGTGCAGCAAATGCAAACAACAAAAACCCATACTCATGTGAGGAAGCCTCCAGAGCTGTTCTGGACACTACCCAAGAACTACCCAGACTCCAACGCAGAGGGGCATCTCTTGGGCCCTTAGCTACTTGGGTTTGGGGAAACACAAGAAAAACAGGTGATGCAAAATTCAATTCTATTTCCTATTCCTTTGGCCCTGAACCAAAAAGAGCCAAATCCACAGCTTGGTAGTGGGAAAAATGGAAAAAGGAATGGGCTCATGCCTCTTAGGATAATTTACACACAGGTTACCTAGAATCATGGGCACTGCCAATGAGTCTGAAGAGATCGGTGACCTCTAGATGACCAGCCCCGGACTCCTCTCTGTAAATTACCCAATGTAGTGGAGATATGTGAAGAGAAAATAAACCATATGGAGGACACGTTTTAAAGGAATGGTTTGGTTTAAATGCTTAAATAAGGATCCTGCCACCTTGACAACGACTGAGCAGTGCTCACATCAATTAAATGAACATGGCCGTCATTTAGAGCAACCTTCCGCCTTTTCCCTCTTCCCCCTCCACGTGATAAACCTCCTTCTCCCTTCTTCTTGGCTGTTTCTGCTCCACTGAGCCCCAACTCAATTGTTTTTAATTCAAAACCAAGTCAACAGCTATTAGTGACGATTAATAGAGCATCTACCCCATTGTGCTAAGAGGTTTCAAAACCTCATATCCAAAAGCTGCCTGGGTATAAAAGATTTAAGTAGGAATTCAACATAAAAATAGAAGGGATGTGTCAATTCAGTTAGTACATGATTAAGCCTTCGGAAAAATGTAGAGAAAATGTATAAGGGGAAGGAGATTCTCATTGCTTCATCCTCACAGTTTTTTAGGCTCCATACAAAAAGTTATGTAGCAAAACACCTAGATTTTCAATGAAGCGATATATGATGCAAATAAAGAACCATCAGCTTGAGGCTCATACCTGGTCCTGGGGGGCCCCTCATTCCAGGGGGCCCCATCTCTCCTTCTGGGCCTCTTGGGCCTGGTACCCCAGGAAGCCCCGGGATTCGGGGGCAGGAATCCACATCTGCAGGTGGCCCAGGTTCACCTGAAATTGGAATCACCGCTTGTGTGATGGATTCAAACGCTCCCGAACAAACTCTTGCATTCTCAAGTTAGATAGGCTTCCAACACTACACTGAAATGTCATCCAGAATGTTCAACAACCCAATATAAGCTCCATGAAGGCAGGACTTGTTCACTGCAGGGTGCGTGAAAAACTTCCAAGTATTTTGTTGAATAAATGAATGGATGAATGAATGAGTGAGTGAATGGGATCTCAGAGGAGGCAAAAGAAGTAAGCCATAGTGAAGGTTGGTTGAGGTAGAAATAATTTGATGACCTTCACAGGATTTCCCATCTTTGGGCCACTTTTTACTGGGGTGCCAGCCACAGGTGGCACTGGGAGAGGTGCCATTGGGTTGCTAACACTCAGCTTAAGGTCCCTCTAATTCATGACTCCACATTGCAGTTCCCATAGTGTCCATTGCTCAACTAGATAGAATTTCAGGATCGCTAGGGGTGCTAAAGCAATGACTTTTAACTCTGAGCGCACCTTAGAATTATCCAGGGGAATTATAAAAATATACTGACGCCTGGGTCTAGCCCCAGAAATATTGGTTTAATTGGAATAGGACATGGCCTGTGCAGTGCCCTTAACCCAGCTGGGGAGCTTTTGAAAAGCACTGATGCCAGATGGGGCTCTAGACTTATTAAATAGGAATTTCTGAGGGTGGGACCCAGGCATCAGTAATTTTTTAAAACTCTCCAGATGATTCCAGTGTGAGCCAGGGCTGAGAAGCACCGCTGTAAAGCTGTAGCACATCAGAATCATCTGGCCAGCTTGTTAGAGCCCACGGTTTCTGGAGTCAGCATGTCTGGGCTGGGGCCCAACATTTGCACATTGAACATGTTCCCAGGTGAGGCTGATGGTGCTGATCTGGGGATCCCACGTGGAGAGCCACTGCTCTCAAAGTTCGGAATTTTTTCCTCTTGGTTACTTTCACAACTTTAAGACATTTTTTTCTGAAGCTTCATTCACTCACCCTGCAAACATTCCACAAGGGAAAAGAAAGAATCATAACGCTAACCAATAATGATAACAGCTAGCACTCACTGAATGCCTTATCATTTATCAGGTCCTAATTGCTTTATGATTAAAAGCTCCCAACAAGCTTGTGTGTATGGGCTGCTGTCATTAGAATGTGATGGGTAAGAAAACTCAGGCTCGGGTAAATAAGTGACATATCTGAAGGCACACAGCTAACACATGGCAGAGTCTAGATTAAAAATCCAAGATGTCCTGGCTCCAAACCTGTGCTCCTAACCACCACACCCTACTGCCTTAAGAACCCTTAACCTCTGCATCGTGAATTCTAAGAAATGCAACATACTTTAAAATGTAAGATTTATTGGTTGTGGTTTTCTTAAAATTCATACAAATGTGCAACATAATTTTAAGAACAGCAATGATAAAGAAGCAAGAAAATCCTAGGAAATGTGGCCATAACAACGACATAGTCTCCATCGTAGTTCATGTCCCTGTGCAAAACGGACTTTAACCTCTTGTAAAATATTGTATGAAACCACAAGCAGCACTGATTTGGATGTATTTTCACAGTACATACGGTTTCATGTAAAACTTGGCTTTCCCACTCTGGGTGACTTGAGAGAGATGCATGTGAATATTTCCTGTTTTCCCTGAATAATCGGGTGAATTCTGGTGGTAATTCACCCATGGTGGTGGATGAAGGAAGCATGTAAGGAAAAGAGGGGTGGGCATTTGGCTGATGTTTCATATTTAAGATTCTGATGTTATCTTCAAATGAGTTTATATATACAGTCACTGATTTTTGACTTGTAAAGCCTATGAATGGTGGAAATCAGTGTCTAATGGTTGGAAAATATCCAAGATATACGAGAAACACTAAAAGGATTGAAGTGAAAATTCATTAAATATACCACTTTAATTTTTAAATATAAACATTTGAAATAGCAGGATTTTTAAAAATTCTGTTTTTGCTTTTCTTGACTTTTTAATAAACCAGAAGCTGAAACAAAGGGGCCAAGGAGACTCTTCTAAGGGCATTAAAAATAATATATGGCGTCTGTATTTAGGGCAACTTTCATTAGGGTTAATAACAGATGCCTGGAAAGAATAAATGCATGCATTCACAATTTTTCTTTTCTTCTTTTGAGAAACTCTTGTTATGCTCTTTGAAAATGCCAGACACAAAATAATACGTTGCTTTTGCCTCGTGGAGGATTAAGTGAACACTTAGTTGGAAAGAATAACGGTATTTTCATTTTAACACACAAAGAAATTTGCTCCTTGAAAATGGACTTCGGGTGGGACAGGAAAAGCTTGTCACTGCCCCTTACTGGGTATTGAAGACCCATCTTTTCATGTTGTCGATACTGTTTATTTTACTGATGTTCCCTGTATTTATATTGTAGAATTTACAAAAGAAACTTACACTGGTATGTACTATCGCATTTGACAGAGAAAGTACTCATATTCTGAGCCTGAGTTGAAATTACATAAACCGAGGATCTACACAGCCTTGACAACCTATAATGAGGCTTGGCATTGGGACACTAATATGGGGTTACTATATCTGTAACGAGGAAGCGAAAGCATGAAAACCCAATATAATCACAGCATCCCATCTATAAAAATGTAACAAAGTTTAACTCGCAAATACAGGGAGAAAGCCAAGAACAGAAATGACTGGGAACCAGATTTAGAGGAAATTATGAGTTTTATAGTAACGCTTACCTCTGGAACCTGGAGACACCCAAAGTCGAAAAACGAGGCCACACAACAATTTTCATAGGGTGGAAAGAGATTTGAAATTTGTGAATTAGGACAAAAGTGAAAGAGATTGCCGGAGAACATAAATAATAATTTGAGGACAGCATCTATGACAAGCAGAATGAAGGCATCTTATTGAATAAAAGTCCACATCAGTGTTACTGACAACAATGGCTATGATTTAGGAATGGAGTTTTCATATCTAGAAAGACCTGAAATGAAACTCTCTTGCACAATATAAAATTCAAGTTGATTCCGCACGGCGAATATGTCCTAATTTAACATATAGAGAAATTCTGCCCATTTGAAGGCTTCTGAAAATTCCATATTAATTTGCCAAGTGTTATAGGTTATGCACAGAAAGGAAAGATAAGATGAATCTTTGTCCTGTTGGACTAGGATCCATTCTAAAGTTTACTCTTTGAACTAGGGAGTGCTAATTTAGGAGACTGACAAATATTCTGAACTGACACCACATTACCATGATATTGATTTAGGATCCTGAAAGATATCACTTCTGCCAATCTCAAATGCACACGTCTGTTTGCCCTCCCAATTCTTCCCTGGCTTACTTTGACCCTCTGATGAAAATGTGTTGTCCATAGACCTTAAATTGAGCCTTTCATCTTGATAGGAACGAATGGACTTTACAGAAAAAGTTAAATAAAACATCTAGAAAAATCAATGGGAATTCAGGGACAGGAACTGAATACACAGTCCTCACACACAATAATCAAATCAGTCTTTGCCTCTTGTTTGAGGAAACACAGATTTATTTACCTTAGAAATATTATATGTAAAATCAACTCCTAGATTTTCAAACTTACTCATTCTTAGAATATTAGTTTACCAAACCTGAGACTTTGTGGTGCGGCCTGAAGTAAATATAATCTTTATCAGAAATGTAATCTGTCTCATCTTTACATCTTCATAAGAATTTGCTGGTAATTTCAGAGTCATTGCTTCCTGAAAGATCATCTCACTGTAAATGTTTAAACTCAGCACCGTGGGTAGGCTGCTGGGTGAGATGATTAAGCGTCAGAAGCTTACCCGGAGGGCCAGAGGGCCCCTGTCTCCCTGGAGGTCCCAGCAAACCCTTCTCTCCAGGTGGCCCAGGAAGTCCAGGTGGCCCCGGCGGCCCCGGGAATCCCATGGGTCCTACAAGGAAACAGATAAAAACGAGGGCACTGGAACGAAGCAATATAATGACAATGACAGTTTGATAGACTGACTTCAGAGATTCACGCCAAGAAAATGCAGAGCAAAGTCAGCCTTAGAGTCCAGATGGGTCTCCCACTTTTTTCTGTGAGGCTGAGAAGAGTTGCCTCTGTCTGAAGGAAACACAATAATCTGTCAAAGGGACTAAGGAAAATGGTTCCATGATCAAGACAAAACTAAATTAGAACGAAAAGCCCTGGAATGCTGAACTTTCCGTGGAGATGCTCAAAAGACTGGAACTGAAGGGACAAAAAGGAAAGAGGCCTTGCTGTCTGAGGGCGACGTGCTCTGGCCCTGAGTTCCCCCCACTCTCTTCCTCACTCTGTTTCAGCCACACCAGCCACTCAGTGCCTCGCATATGCTGTTCCTTCTTTTCCTCCTGGTCCATGAAGTCCTCCTCATTCTGTAGAGTGCAGATGGAGCCTCACTTCCTCTGGGAAGCCCTCCCTTGAACCCCACCCCAAGTCCCATGGCTTTTTGATGAGCTCTCATAGAAGTGTGTCCCTTTGCTCAGGGTACTCATCTCAGTTGACAGCAGTGGATCCTTTGGTGAGAATGTCTGTCTTCCCCCAGGAAACTGTGTGCTTAATAAGAGGGGAATCTGTTTAAATATGTTCTCTGCTATATTCCTGTAGGTGCCTAATAAATGCTTATGGAATAGATAAAATTTTTCCCACTGTGTAAGTCTAAAAAGGTAAACTGAGGAAGCCCCTCATCTTTTTCAGTTGGGCAGTCTTTGGCCCGTATGCCCATTGCAATGGGAGTTAAGAAGGATGGTTGGTGGTTCCACCAATATTTCTCTTTATATATCATTTGTAGGTCACTGTTACTTATATGCCATGCTATTTTCCCAATCCTGAAGTTTATTTCCAGGTCGAAGTTCATTCTCTAGAGTAACAACTGAGGGGGAAGGTCTTATTTGAGAGAGGGACAAGATTGTATAGCCAGTCCCCTCCTCCTTCCTCTTGGTGTCCAGTTCTGAGGTTCAATAACTGGAAGTCCGTATACCTTCAGATACAAGCCACATTTTCTGAAAATTGATTTTATTGCTAATAAAGGTGAAGAGGGTTGCTGTGTACTATTGTAAAGGTTGTGCACTACACAATTCCAGAGATGCCATTTGCATTGTAGTCATGGAAGCCTCACTGTGATTTTGATCTCCCCTCTTCCCTAATGTTTTGCCTTCTTTCATATTTGGTTCAGAAGTCAGGCAGAGTTCTAGTTATTGGACTCCTACAAACGTCAACATTCACTTCTGTGGTATACAGCTTCCTTAGTTATAACATAAGGGAGTTAAAATGGAGAATCATTATTGGACCCTTTTCAACATAAAGGTCTATGGACCTAATAATTCTCTGAAATCCTGGTGACCAAAAACTAAAGTCCCTAAATATGTGCAGTTAGGTAAAAATGAATTAAAATAAATATTTTAGCCTTAAATAGTGGGGAAATTCAGTCATGGGGACTCTGTCATGAATATAAAAGAGCAAAGTCAACAGTCTAAAATTGAGCTGTCCAATAAAGAAGCCACTGACCACTTGTGGCTATTGAACACTTGAAATTGACAAGTCCAAAGTGCGTCGTGCTTTAAGTGTAAAATGCGCACGGATTTGAAAGGTGGAAAGGAGGACTATCTTATTTGAGGGAAGATCTAGGTTTGTACAACCAGCCATGATCATCCCATTGATGATCTGTATTAATTATATGTTAAAATAATAACATCTGAATATATTATGTTAAATGAAATAAAGTGTGAAAGTTAATTTCACTCATTTCTTTTTACTTTTTAAAATGTGGCTACTACATCTTTTAATTACATGTGTCGCTTGCATTGTATTTCTCTTGTTCAGTCCTGGTCTAGAAGATTAACAAGTATGTTATTTGGGGATAATAATGAATTTGTGTTTCTTCTTTGCACTTGTCCATCATTTACCCAAACTTTAGGACTCTGGGAAAGTCAGGACATTTTGGAAATGTAGTCACTGTTTCCATGGGAAATAGGAATTAACTCATGGTGGTGCAGTACCCCAGACCCTTACAGGCAAAATAAGGAAAATCTTCATGTTAAGGAACAACTTGCATCCATACCTTTCTGGCCGTCTTTTCCATCACACCCTGGGAAGCCTTTGTGTCCTGGAGGGCCTGGGGGGCCTGGGGGACCTGGTGGCCCTGGAAGACCACGGTCACCTGGTTCCCCTCTCAGAAGGTCGACACTCCCAGGGGGGCCGGGAGGCCCAGGTGTTCCTGACCATAAGGAGGAGGCAAAAAGATTCCTTCAGTCAAAGATAAATGTATGTGCTGGCTCCCCAAGAGCTTCTTAAGGAAGGTAATTGAATGATTTGTAAGCGAGAGATGGAGCAAATTAGAAGAATAAGAAAGTCAATAGGATCGGAAATGAAAGCGAGGATATCTCATGCAGCCCAAGTTGAGATATGGTGTAAATAGTCTGTTAATAACTATTAGATGAAATGAGCACAAGCAAAGGCTTCTTCCCCTCAGAATCATCCCTTTTGGAAGAATCAGTTTACGAGTTTTCTTTGCACTGCCATCCCACTGCTTCAATACAGTGGATGGATGGGTGGATGGATGGATGGACGGATGGACAGATAGATAATAGGCTTTGAGAAAATCTGGCTGATAGGAAAGGAATGTTCACTCAATGAAATTTATAGTCCTATTTGAAAACAAGTGTGTACACATAGGAATTGAGCCTAAATTCTGTTCCAAATTAGTTTCTATAACACATTTGTAGGCACTTTCATTGTTCTCAGTGTAAAATAGAATTATATAATATTTTATCCCACCCTTACTAAAATTCTAAAGATGTAAAGGCATTGGGCTCGTGTCTCTCTAGAGGAGTTCTATGAATTAGTAGGAATGTGGTTAATTTACAGAACACTGTACTGAGCCACGCTCTTTTTCCAACTCCCCAGCCAGCTCTAGTCCAACCCTACTTTGTGAAACACCGCCTTGCTAGAGTTTGTCCCTGCGAAGTGATGAGAGGAATGAAATGTACTGTTGGCAGCACATGAAGAGACTCTGTTTCCGTGCATATGCCAGACCTAGGTCCTGTCACTCTGGGCCAGGGGCAGTGGTTTATGTGGTAGGTGTAAGAGACCAACAAATAGGATGCGATTCCTCCAGCTAGCCACTTCTGAACCCTCATGGTCAGCCTCAAGCTGGCTATGGGAAAGGCTTGCTTGCAGTCACAGTTGGTACCCATAGAGAGTCGGTCTGATAGAGTTGAAATAGAAGAGTGAGGGGCCTAAGCTCTGGTCCTTACAGCCCATCACTGCCCACATTCCCACCTTTTCCATCTGCCAAATTGATGGGGCTGCTAAGCTGCTTCTACTCTGCCGTTCCCTGCTCCTACATCCCTAGGGAGCGGCAGCATCTAAGGAAAGGAGCATCAGCGTTCTGCCATGATTGTCTCATACCTCTCAGACCATCGGGGCCAGGAGGTCCCTGATCTCCAGGTGGACCCGAGTCAGGAATGTCACCCGTAGGAGCTCTTCCTGTGGCACCTGCAGGGCCAGGTGGTCCAGGTCTCCCTGAGGAGGGACATGTCCAGATGTTAGTCTCATTACATTTGGAAGGTTTTGATTTCGTTATTGAGAGAGGGGGAAAGCATGCTGCTTCTTACCTGGGGGCCCTGGAGGACCTTTTTCTCCAAAAAGCCCTGGAGGAGAAATTCCTGGGCTCCCGGGGTCTCCCGTCTCCCCTTTCAGCCCAGGTATTCCCACTGGGCCGCGTGGACCCACTTCATGCAAACCTTAATGAGGAAACCAGCGTTAGCACGCGTCTTCTCCCTGTTTGTCCCTGTTGTGGTGCCTGGAAAGGAACTGCTTCCAAATTTGGGTGTGACAGGGAGGTGGTTGGTTCTGTAGAGACCAACCACTGGGTGCAACGGAGATCTAAATGGCTGCAGTGGCCATTTACTCTCTTACGACCCATCACACTGGTCCACCATAGGCTTGATTTACTTTATGGTTAATTCCCAGATTTAAAAAAAAAAAAAACCACAGCTTAGTGACAACACCAACCCTCCAGCCCCAAATGAGATCCAACTATAAGTAATTATGAATAAACTGGTTTGAAATTGAAGGTGGAAACTGGCATGTAAATAGAACTATTGCGGAGTTTCTCATTGAAAGGGAGAATATCCTTGGCTTCTTAGAGGGGGCACACATTTTATCAACTATTTGGAAGAGCCACTAAATGAATCCTAAGTGACCGAAATTACGTCTTGAACTTCCAAACTGTATGAAGATTTTCTCTCTCCAACAACAGATTCAAACCTAGCAGTGCAACGACTTAACTTTTCCCACAACCCCTCAAATCTGCATGTCTGGTTGCAGTTACCTTGTCTGGTAATGAGCTATTTTTCTGAGAAAGTAATGCAACAAATGTGCGTTATACTAAAACAAGAGGACAAGCTAAAATGCAGTTGAAGAATAACCTCTTTGTGATATCAAAAATAACAGCAATTTGTTCAGGTAATTTGTTTCAGCCACAGCTATTGAGGGATGCTGACTAATTAGAGCCACGTGGTCGTATTTGGCATTACTACACTTAAAACAAAACAATATCCCAAAAACCCCAGCTATTTATTTGTTATGCATAACATTTTGAAATCGAGCTCCACTTAAGCAACTATTCAGAGTATTTTTAGTAGATAGTCCCAAGCAATATCAACAAGGGCACTGTTAACCAACCATTCCTTCTGAAATAGAGTTTCCTCAAACGTCCTTTTTATATAAGTCCTCTGCAACACTGAAAATAGTTCCGATATTGTGTCTCTAAGTTAAGCCAGTTTCTTAGTTTTGTACCCCAAATCTTGCGATATGAGAAACACCAGAGGTATCTTACGGTTGCAGTTCAGTCTCTCACAAATGATTTTCTCTTACCTGAAGCGCCTTCGCTTCCTTTCTGACCCTTTAAACCATGCAAGCCATTCAGGCCGGGTGACCCTGGGGGACCTGAAACACATCACAAGCCTGTGACCCACAGAGCAAGACCAGCTGTTAATGTTCACTGGACACCACCCAGCGGAGGGTGTGCTCATGGAGACAGACATTCTCCAGACCGGAACCACGCGATCGCACCATTATCAGGGCTGAGTCCATGCCAGTGATTATTATTTAACACGTTCATTTGATGGAGGTTTTCTGCCAAGACAGCTTAGCACATGCATTTCTTTGGTTTTAAAGTACTGCTGTTGGTTTATGACATATCAAAAGCATCTCTCTCTCTCTGACCAGATACAGTCCAGAATTACTGAATCTTGGTGTAGAAAGTGACCTTCCATTTTATGACAATAAAGTCATCCCAGATGAGGAAAGAGATTGGACAGGAGCAAACCCAAGCTTCCTTCCTCCCTTGCTAGGATCTTCCCACTCAGCCACAGCCTGCAGATTCTAATTTCTTCAGGATCTAGTCAGGCAAATGTAGTAATACAATAAGGACAGGTGGGTCTGTGGCGTACACACTGGGGAATACATGCCCTACCTAATTATATTTTTTGAGCATGGTGCTACTCACAAAGAACAGGCTTGCCAGTCAAGTTTGGCTGCGGCTATTTCTTTGCATCTAGTTCTTTCAAAGGGAACCATTCTGATGCCTCTTTACAGAAACTAAATCTATTTCCTGATGATCACTGAAAATGCCATTCTCCATAGTTAGATATGATCTCCTTGATGTCTGATCTGCTCTCAGAACCTTCCATCAGACATCAGTATAGTTCTCTAAGGAGACATCTATCAACCTGAATTTACTTAAACTGTCACTAACACTGAACACCTATAAACCAATATAAGTATATAGATATATAGAGATATTTATAACATATCATATGTAGATTTATAGGGAGGGAGTAGAGAGAAGAAAAAGGAGGAAAGGAGGGGAAGAGGAAGGGAAGAAGGCAGTTAACTAACATGTACAGAACATCCCATGTGCTGAGTCCTCTGCCAGGTGCTTCACACACGTCTTGTCCTGCTGATTGATGCGAGGGAACGAATCTTCTCCTCAGCCCCTGGCCCACCCTGGTAACCTGCCTATTTCACTAATGGATCTTCCCTCCAGCAGCTGTTCTTTCTCATCCAAGGCTGAGAGCGCCTCGGTGCACAGCCATTCACTCAGTTTAGGGTCACAGCCTTCGAATTTGCCATAATAACACCCTCAGTTTCTATGACTAACACACACAAATTGCCCCTCACCTACCCCCAAGGTACCTACATAGAGCTCCCTCTACGTTCTTATGCTGCTGCCTGTCCCACATTGTACAACAATCGCGTCTTTGGGGGACTGGTTTATTTGGGGTAAATTGATTGAGTGCAAGACCAGGTTCTATGTCTTTCTATCCCCCCACTCAGCATATCTCCTGACACATAGTAGGTGTTCAATAGATGTTTGTTGAATGAGTGAGTGAGTGAGAGTGAGAATGAATGAGTGAGAAAATGTGGAACAAGGAGGGTGAGGAACTGAAGGGGTGGAGAGAAAGCTATAAAAACGAATGGACTACAATTTCTGTTTGCATGTCACATCTTCCTTTGACAGATTTACAGGATGCATAAGATTTAGGGAAGTTGGAGTTGTCCATTTGTAGATAAATAATTCAAGTGCTAATTATCATTTATTCATTAAAGCAAGTCCTCTCTGGGCTTCTTCTTAGAAGATGGAACAGTCGGTTGGTTCTCTTCTATTTATTTTCAGTACTTGAACAGACAGTTATTCTATTTTTAAAATCTAGACTTTGGATTGGTGCAAATGAGCCATATTTCCTTGCAACAACAACAACAAAAAATGGGAATGCGCCCTTATTTTCCCTAAAGCTCTTATTTCCTAACCACTTTTAACAGTTCTGGCTGAGTTTATTTTCCAATCCTTTTTCCTATTTATGAGCGAACGTTTCAAGTTTGCACCAAAGGAACACACGGACCTTCATCTGCCAAATCTGGATATTTATTGCAATCTATCTCAAATGATAATAAATTTTTTGAGAACACTTTGCTATTTCAATGTGTTTTGATCTCCAGCTTAAGCCACCAAGATTGATGGTTTGGGGACTTGGCTGGGGGTGGAATGTCTCAACTTCTGCCAACTCTCCATTGTCACATCAACACGTCCAGATCCTGGGTTGTCACAGTCTCAGCCCCTGCCATTGTTGAACTGGCCGACCCTTATCTGACCCAATGTTATCTTTCTAAATTGAATGCAGCTACATCTGGGTAGGGTTTTAAGGGCAATTTTTCCTTTTTACTGAAAGCTTTTTATCAATCCCATCTCTAAATCAGAAAGCTGTTCATGCATAAAATATATACAGTGCAGACGAGAGGCAATTAGGCTAACAAAGCACATTCCTTGGTAATGAGGAATTTTTATTCACCTCTCTGGTCCTCCTGCTTAACAACCATCGTTTAAGGCTGCATCACACTGCACTCACAGGCCGGAGCACTCTCCCTCCAATCAGAGAATCTAATCTCCCACTCCAGCCATAATCTTAATCAAAGCTTCCATCTGTGTCAACCAGGCAGCCGACTCCGTGACTGGATTCCCACTCTGAGCTTTCCTTTTGTTCTACAGCCTGAAAACGCTGCTCCAGCCCCAGGGGTCATTGTACGGATTTATACTTTAGTAGGATGACCAACTGTCTATGTTTGTTGGGGCCTTTCGCAGTTCTAGCACTGAAAGTTCTGTGTCCTGAGATAGCCCCTTCAGTGCAAACTGGGAGAGCTGGTCACCCTAATGTTAAAGCTGATGGGAAAGAGAGACCCATGTGACTTTGGGTCATGGCTGAACAAAGTTGAAAACTTATCAAAACAGATTATGAAATAAGATTTAAAAACTTTTTTTTTTTAATTCAGAAAATATATGTGTGCCTACTGAGGGAATGCACAGAGCATAGGACGTGGTCTCCTAAACCACGGAGCTTCAGTCCCCAAATGTACCTAGTGACAGGCACTGACGAGACAGCGGGGAGCAAGAGAGAAACAATCCCTGACTTGACAGAATAAACAGGCAATTACATCAAGAATGGTAAGCGCTATGGGGGTGGGGCAGGAGGGGAACATTCTAGTTGTGAGAAGGGAGGAAGAGCATTTCTATGATTTTCATAGCTCCAAGGGGCACGGCATTTCTTTTCTGATAAAGACATTTCAAGGTGCTTTTTTCTTATGAAACGTTTTACTTACCACCAGCCAATATAACCCAATCCACATTTTTTACAGTTGTCACACTACAGATAATTGTCTTTAAGTTTCCGTTATTCCAATCTTATATGAATGCCCAACTAAGAATTGAGTGACTTCCTTTTAGGGGGAACATGTACTTGAAAACGTAAATCTAGGAATCAAGCCATTTTTAGCATATGTTTAAGTTAAAGTTTAAATCTGATTGAACACAAGCAGGACTCAGAATCCATATGGCTTGTTCTAGCAAAGCAAACAACCTTGAGTTCAGCAGCTGGTTTGTTCAAACAAGATAATCAGTCCCCTTGACTTATTTAGAACATACTTCAAATATTTAGTTTCTCAGTTCAAAGTGTTTCTGCCGGAATGTGGTTCATTTTTATGTCAGCATGATAAACTGCAACAATGGATTTATAACGTAGATGTTTTAATTTTTAGGAATGTATTTCACTGTTTTGTTTTGTTTTTAGAGACCAGGCAATCGTTCGTTGGGCTGTTTGCAGCGAAACAGTGTCACTGCATGGTCAGGACGCACCACTGCAACGTCCGTCTGTACACTGGTGTGAATATTTGGGTTGAGATACTCATTTCTTCACCTTCTTTTCTTAACAAACTCATTATTTCAAAGCAGAGAATTTGATGTGATTGGAGATTATTTTTCCCATAATTTTGTTATTCAGTCAAATTCATTAGCTGTTAGTTTTTTAATGACATATCATGCTGAAGTTATGTGATAAATGCAAACTAATTCAAGGGAAGAAAGAATAACAATAGTAAAATGAGCCTGGTCCTTTGATACAAACGGGGTGTATATTGTTATGGTACCAAGACGCTTGGAAATCTTACCATTTTACTAAACTAGGGGCGTAGGAGGAAGTGGAAATTCCCTAGGGGTGGTTAATAATGGGAAATGTTTTCTTTTGGTTCTTTACCAATGTCGTCTTCTAGACCCTCCAAAAAAGTGTCAAAGAGTACCCCACCAGGGCTGCAGGGACTGCCAGGCACAGGACACAGCCAGAATCACTAGGGAAACTGAAAATAAGGAAATTGTCATTTTGCTTGAATCTCTAAATTTGTCACAAATCACTGGACTTCACGTTACTAAAAAAGCCAATGAAGGGGCTGGCCCCGTGGCCGAGTGGTTAAGTTCATGCGCTCCGCTGCAGGCAGCCCAGTCTTTTGTTGGTTCGAATCCTGGGCACGGACATGGCACTGCTCATCAAGCCATGCTGAGGTGGCGCCCCACATGCCACAACTAGAAGGACCCACAACGAAGAATATACGACTATGTACTGGGGTGCTTTGGGGAGAAAAAGGAAAAAAATAAAATCTTTAAAAAAAAAAAGCCAATGAAGAGGGAGAAGAAGAGTGCAAAGATATCTTGTGTAGTGATGGGAATTATAAGCCAAATAATATTTAGCTGCACGGAAATCCATACGTGTACCAACTTTCCAAAATAAATGGCTTCCCTCTCTGTGGAATTGCACCAGGTAACACACACCACACTACTACTCGCTGGAAAACTGGAATGATTTGAAAGCTACCTGATGAGTGAAGAGATGAGAGTGTGGAAAAACATTATTTGGATTCTAAAACAATAAAATGATTAAGCCCAAAAGGAGGGGTTTGCAACTCTTCTGAGAGGAGGTACTTTCGATCTTACCAAAATTTAATACGCATATGAGTCAACAAGCAGCAGGTAAGTGGAGGACCAGAGAGGGAGGAAGAGACAGAGGGGGCTTGGTTACAGAAATCCACCCAGGAAGGCTCAAACCTTCAAGTGTTGGTTGAGGTGAAGACCCTCAACTGAGTTGTTCCTTCTTCCCTTTGCCGGTCCCTTCATTTATTAACTTATTTGTAAATTTAAAAATACTTACAATAACCAATCAGCAGGCTTATTGGGTATCTACTGGGTGCCAAGGATGTAAAAATGGTTCTTGCTTTCTAAAAAATCATATTCTACTTGGTGAGAGAGACCTCTAAACAAACAAATATGATACAACATAAGTGTTACGCTAGAGGTATACTCAAAGTATTCATGGAAAAAAGATTTTTTCTAAAATGAAAGAAATGGACTGAAAGGGAATAAGCCCCATGGATGAATGGAGGGTATTAAGATTTATTAAAAACAAATTTATATTATATTATGTTATATTATATCATTATAACCAGTCTACTATCATATGTAAAGGCCAAAAGATTCGACCAGGAAAAAATGTTTCTTTATCTAACAAAGATAATGAACACTAGTTACTCTTTCTTCAAAGCATCTTATTCTTTCCTCCTCCTTCCACGTATCATAATTGGTAATTATATATTTATTTACATATATTTTTTTAATATCTGTCTCTTCTACTAAACTATGAGCTCCATGAAGGCAGGAACCATGTTTATTTTCTTCAGAATTGTGTACTGAGTGTCTAACACAGAATCAAGATGTAATAGGACCTTAACTATTGGGAGGAGAATAAATGCATAGGCTTGAACATGATGGAAAACACTGGGGGAAATGCCCTCAAAAATGAGAGGGCAGCACCATCACTTTGGTAGAAGGCAGGTCAAGAGACTGGATGAGCGTTGCCTGAAGCCTTGAGCGAGAAAGACTAGGAAAGTGCGAATGGACATCTGTGGGAAAAAGCCACGAGCAGGTGCAATGTCACTGGGTGCAGGAAAGATGCTATGAATTTGCCTTTATTGGGCTGCAGCTTTCTGATGGGTCAGGCTTCCTTTTGACTCACCTTTTATTCCCGGAAGACCTGGTGTCCCTGGATCCCCCATGAGGCCTCTTGGCCCAGGATCCCCCATCTCTCCTGGATGTCCTTCCAGCCCAGGCACCCCTTGATTACCTGAGGATGACAGAAGAGGTTCTGCAGGCACCCAGATGATATATGAGTCACATTAACTGGGAAGGTCATCTATCTTCTTCTATATGCGGGTAACCGGGAACATTGTCTTACTACTTTTTTCCCTAGATCTCCTAACTAGAGGGAGAAAAATACACTTAACCTCAGGAGGAGAAAATACACTTTTGAGTGATTAAAGTTGCCAATTACAATTTTAAGCTCTCACTTTATTCTGAATCGGCAGGAGGCGGAGGAGCTGTTAAAATGCTGTGTGTATGTGTGGTATTTACCTTAAGTCTAATGGAGAAAAGAAAACCAGCATCCTGAATGGCAGGTGAATTAGGGAGGGCTGCAAAGCAGCTTTTGTCTGTCAAACCATCACTTCATGCCTGGCAACCTGCTAAGTGCTTATCAGGTGTTGTCTTACCCCCAGACCAACCCAGTGAGCTAGGACTAGCTCCAACTACAGGGGACGGATAGGTAAGTTTAAGTGACTTTTCCAAAGTCACAGGTCTGGAAAATGGCAGAGCCAGATCTGAACCCAGGTCTAAGTGGAAGCTGGCTCTTTCCTATACACCAAGAGACAGATAAGCACCCAGGGAGTTTCCAGGCTCCTTTCAATGTACCTGGACACCCTGGTGGTCCAGAGGAGCCAGGCAGTCCTGGTCTTCCAGGTGGTCCCCTGGATCCTTGAACACCAGGCAAGCCCTGCTCTCCAGGAGCTCCAAAATGTCCTAAAGAAAGAAATATCAAACATCTGAGTGGGTGTAGTTACTCTTTGAGGCAGCGAATCTATAAAACCTCCAACTCCAGCCCTTGCCATTCTTTTCTATCCTTAGTTTTTTATATTTTAAAAATTTTCTATTGAAAAGATAATATGAAGGAAAAATTGAAAACAGAACACCTATAATTCCACCACCTTGACATAGTTTTTCATATGCAAACAATGTGTAAGTAATACTCACAATTTTACATTCTGATTTTTAAATTAGCATTGTATCATAAATAATTTTCCAAGTTTGTCATTGTTTTCCCAATTATCATTTTTAAGTGACTGGCTGATAGCTTACTGAGTTAATATTAATTAAATTAATTAATCTAATTTTCTCCTACTATTGGCCATTCCATTTATTTCTAACTCTTTGCTGTTATGCATAATAATCTCTGTCCATCCTTAATCTCTTTTTTGCCTATTAAATTCTTTCCTTAGGAAAAAATCCTAGGAGTAGAATTTCTAGGTAAAATAGTGTATTTTGGTTCTTTTTAAATGAATTTTAAAATGCTGAAGTATTTTAAAGTAAACCACAGATATCATGGAATTCCATCCCTAAATACTTCAGGAAGTATGTCTGAAAAATAAGAGCATACTCCTATGTGGCCGAAATAACATTACCACAGCCAAGAAAATTAATAACAATCCTTAATATCATCTAAGATTCATTCCGTACTTGAGTTCTCCCAACCCCAACCCCTTAATGTCCTCTACAGCTGGCTTGTCCACCTTGTGTTCCATTCCAGAACAACACATGGCATCCAGTTGATACAGCCCTTAAGTTTAAAAAAAATCTGCTACAGTTCCTTTCTCGGGACAGTCACTTGCTGAAGAGAGCAGTTCCGTTGTTCCCTAGTCTTCTAGAATCCACCATTCAGCATGTGGTTCTTGATAGAGGTTGCCAAATGGTTTGGATAAATGCTGCACCAACTCACACCACTACTACGTGTAACCCACTCGCAGCTCCATGATCATGCCATGTGCTCACCGAGGACTTTTTGGTTTGTTGGCTTGTTTTCTTGCTAATTTAATAAGGATGAAATGATATTTCACGCTTACTTTAATTACATTTCTTTGATTACTAAAGAAGATGACTATTTGCCATGTGTTTATTTACAATGTACGACTTTAATACAATTCATAGTTACAGGATAAGCCAATAGTCTGTGCTGAAAAGGACCAGTTATATCTACAAATAAGTATATATAGCTCTGCATTTACAAACCCATGAGGGAGTTAGTCATTATTTATTATAGCACATATGAAACAAGCCTGTGTTAGTCTATACCTGTTCCCTGATTGAATTTAAGATCTATGCGCCTCACTGTGTGTTATTTTATTTATCCTGAAAACATTCCTGCAGTAAAGGGGAGACAGCTTTATTTCATCTCCAAATGAAAAATCTGAAGCATTAAAAAACTTGCTTCCCCAGTCGCGGTTGTATTAAGAACAGACCGTCTGCGTCAATCTGTACTGTATTTTCTCTCTGAATTGAAGAGGCAAGGAAGAACTGAACCCAGTTCACTCATATATAATCCCCTGAGACAGGCAGCAGATCTGTGCCTTCTCCTTAGGCAACTTCAAAGTCAATGCAGCTTTTTCCAGTCAATGGAAATTGTGTATTTAGGTAAACTCTGTGCTGGTGAATAACATAGGATGTAATTTAAAATTTTTAAGCTAAAGCTATGGCATATGGGAAAAAGAACAATTTAAATGGTGATAACCACAGGACACCAGGGAAATTACACCAAGGTGAATTTTCTTGAAAAAGTTAGCTTAAGTATAAAATAACTCAGATTTATGATTTTTTAACGTAAAATGTTAGGTAATACCAAAGGCCTCCATTTTTGACTACTTTCAGCTTGTAAATTCTCACTGTCTTCAGGGTTTACATAAAAATACCAGTAAGTGTGGAAGAATCTCAGTGTTTTGCTGGCTGATGATAATGATGACAATGACAATGACACTTTACATTTGTGTAGAACTGAACCCAATGCACTCATGTAATCCCCTTTATAAAGTGTAAATTTTCACTTTATAAATTGCTTTGAGGGAATCTCATTGGATTCTCAGAACAGTACTGTAATATGCAGAGGGCCCATTTATAGATTAGGAAACTAAGCTCAGAGATGAAAAGCAACTTGCCCAAGACCATATACACAGTAATAATAATGGAGGTTGACTTTGAGCCACTGATTTTCTTTTCTGAGACTTCTCATTCTGGTATTATTATGAACCCCCATAATGCTAACCTCAAAACCATTTTCCCCTCCAAATGTACACCTATACATTTTAGTATTCTATTATCTAAATTTATTGACCATGTCAGAGGTAAAAGACCCATATGAAAGAGAGTGGGAAAGAAAGTTTTTACCACTGTAATAGCTTGTTTTTCTGTTAGACTTCCATTTTAGCAATGATAGGGTTTAAAAACAAAGAAATAAAACGCCCCTAGCAGTTCTGCTCAGATGTTCTTTCTGTTGCATGGAACGAAACATGGCTATTGCCAGAGAGAATGTTAAGATAATGCACAAAACTATTACTATGAGATGTTTTCATTTACAAGGGACTCGTTTAAACATGAACCTGGTTTCTAACCTTCCCCTATCAGTTGAATGACTCTGGACATAACTCCTGAAGCAATCATCTGTGGATGGACATTTGTTCTCTCCATGCAGTGGATATCCCTGTGCATGTATCTCTGCACACTTGTCTGATTACCGACTCAAGCTAAATTCCTATGAGTTGGATTACTAAGTTCAAGGGTATGTGGGTCATCTACCGTAGCCAGCTGCAGCCTTGACAGGAGAGCAAGAATTCACTGTAGGTCCCAATCCCTTCTGAGTGATTCCATGTCAATTGTTAAAGTACCGTTTTGAACAACTTAGATTTACTCATGGTGTTGAGGTTTTACATTTGTTTGGTTTGGGTTTTAGTAGACTAGATATTGAGTTAATGAGATATTCAACAATATTTCAATAACGGCACTCCTCCCTGGCATTCACATGTGCTTTTCTGAGTGGGAGAGAAAAGGGCTGGGATGACAACCTGCAGGTGCAGTCAGTGTGAGTGGTTACTGCTAACGTCGAATTTTTAATTATGGAGATTGCAAAATAGCCGGAAATTCATTTTCAACTGTGTCAAAATCTGGGCATGCCCAGGGCAGTGTATTGTTATGTCAACATCATTGGTCATGGGAGAGCCATGGTGGAAAAAAGATTGCGAGTCCCTGGTGTATAATCCTAGTGTCTTTCTAGGCCAGGGATGTGATGGCAATGTTTACACATAATCCTTCTGATTTGTATCTTAATGGGCTAAGGGGAAAGAAACTATTGATAGAATCATCACCAGCTAGGAGGATAAAGTAAGTACTCTCAACCCAAACTTATTCTTTTTTGTTTTAATAAGAAAAATGTGTAGCTATACCTGGACATCCAGGGCTACCTGGCTCACCATTTGGACCAGGGGGGCCAAACTGACTTGCAAGGTCACCTTTGTTTCCTGTAAATGATAAAATGCACACAATATTATATAAGAGAATTTAATTTTGCCTCATACAAGTGACTTAATAACTTTCATGGTATTTGTCTTTATAGTCTATCTTCAAATATTCCAGCAGATTTTTGAAAAAATGCTTTTTTTCCTACATCAGAACAAATGGAAACATAGATGCAAGATGTGGTTTAAACACACATACACACACATGTACAATTTTATAGTTCATAACAATCATAAGAAATTATAGATCTTAATAAGTTTGAATTTTTAAATTCCACAAAATAGTTTCAAATTTAGCTATCTATTAAGAAATTACTTGGCATTGAGCGACTATATCATTATATTGTGTTTTAGAAACAAAAAGCAGAACTTGTCACTGTTTCAGCTGCTGCAATCACATTTGAAGTTCTCTGCAAGGAAGCTCAACTCAAAATCACAAAGGCACACTTCATTGATGACTTCATAAGAGACGGCACATTCACAGGTCATTATAGGCAAAGACTCCCACAGGCCCACAGAGCTGTTCCACACGACTGCTGCATCCTCTTTGGACACAAGGACTTACATGATAGCTGGGAGCCAGTTATAAATAGAGGACTCAAAATGATGTGGTGGGGAAGGGCAAGACAATAGATGGCATTGTGAGTGAACAAGAGAGCTAATCAGGCATGTTTTATAGTAGCTGCACACCAACATTCCTTCTTAAGGGGTCCCACCCGGACCTTGTGGAAGGTTCTCTTCCACCTGACCCTACTCATAATTGTGGCTGATTGTTTGAGGGGTAGGAATCTGGTCCATCCCAGGTCAGCCAGTCTTTCCTTGAGAAGTTGGAATAAAAAGTGAGAATTTGAGGTCCTTGGGTATTGAGGCAGAAACCAACAGGATTATCATGGTGTAGATCATTATGATGCCCTGATTCAGAGCATGTTGATAAGCCATCCAAACAGATCCATACAGATCCAGAAAGGACACTGAATAGAGGGTTATGAAGCCAGTTGGTAGGCAGGTAAGTAAAAAGCAGACCATGGAGAAAAGCAGAAATGTTTCAAGAGAGAAACCACGGGTTGCCTAGGGGCTGAGTGCCATGAGCTTTATGGTCTGGTGGAATTACAGCTTCTATCTGTGGACCCCAGAAGACAGTTTTTACTCCAGGTACCTTGAGTGCATTTCAGTTCCTTGCAAACATGGCCTCATCCAAGTGTAAAGGAAATGAGAAGAGGTAGGTTTGTTCGTTGAGAGAGGCAAAGGGACCATAATAAATTGATAGGTAAGTAGAAGAGGAGCAAGTTCTGAACCTTGAAGCTATAAAATATCAAAATCAAATATGAAAACTTCCCTATTTGTAACCATTTCTGAGGAAGAGACCTAGATTAGTCTTTTGGAATAAATAAGTATGTGTAGTTCATTTTTTCTTACAGCAATTATCATATTATCTATGGAGTGTCTCTCAAAGTGTAAAGCATGTTTCATTGGTGGGAAGGGAGAAGATTTTTAGGTGGTTCATTAATTACTGCTTTATATTTTAAAGTTATTTATTTTAATCTGTATTAGAATAAAATATAACTGCATTTCAAGTCTGTGGATTCACAGATAGTGAGGTTAAGGCTATGTTAAAAAGGTGAATCATTTTAAAGTAGATTTAAAGAAAAATATTAACCCAATGGTATACAAAGATAATGAAAATATGCAATGCAAACATTGCAATTTAAGATATCCTGATTTTGTTTGTTTGTCTGGATAAAGGATTAATGAGAGCTGCCTTTCTCTAAGGACATTTTTGACCTTGAGTTAACCTTCTACTTCTCTTTCCCTGGAAACCTGATGAGATAGAATGTCAATTGTGTTACAAGGCAACGCTATTTTTGGCACAAGGTAACTAAAACTAAGACATGCAGCCTGTTTTGTAAATAAAGTTTTATTGGCACATAGCCATGCACCTGTGTTTGTGTATTGTCTATGGCAGCTTTCATGCTATAAGTGCTTTCATGCACAATCAAGAATTTGTGACAGAGACCACATAGCTGAAAATATTTCTGATCTGGCCCTTTGCAAAAAAAACATGTGCTGAGTCTTGTCTTATGGTAAAAAGAACCCAATTGTAAGTTACATGTGGCCCAGAAATTCTTAAGTGGACTATCAACATCTGGTGAGAAGTCATGGCTTTAGCCTTCTCTGTATACTGTGACTCTTGTAACTGGGACACTAAAAGCTATACCTATGGAGTCCTTAGAAGAGATCCTGGCTCCTGTGGGGCATGGGGCTTCTAAGACAAGGTGGACACTGCCTACTGATGTGGATCAGGTCTCCTTGCTCCTGAGCTGTCACTTATGAAGCTTCAGTCACTACAAGGACTGCTGCAAGGACTCCCCCTGAGGAGGAGGACCTGCTGTGCCCTGCAGGCATGCTGTTTTCTCTCTGGTACTCTTGGATCTGAATGGCAAATGTGGATGATTTGGGTCTTGAGGGTTTGATGATCTGGTAGTGTCTAAAAAGTTGTTCTTTTGATATACTTTACTGTTCATGCCAAAGGTGCTTGCTTACAACATTACAAACGCCCAGGACTATGAGCTTGATGGATGGCTGCTGTATTTCGAAACCATACCTTTAGGTCCTCTCCTTCCATCAACTCCTGAAAGTCCAGGGGGCCCTGGAGAACCCGGCTGACCCTGAGAGTTTAATGAAACAGAAGTAAGACCTTAATTGGGTTTCAAATACAAATGACACATGCATGGTATGATCCAGTTATAATTTTCCATAACCCATTCTTTTTATAATTTGCAGTGGTAAAGAAAATTGGAAATGTATTGCAAGCATACTACTATGTGTCTACTTTTTAAAAGTTGATAAAACTCTTGCGGAATTAGAGATACCAATAGGTAGGATCCAATTCTCTATATCTGATTGCAAAAGAGTAATGGCATCACATAACTTTAAGTTGTGAATGAAAAAGTTGATACTAAATAAAATAGTATTAGAAGTCATTTCATACCCAAAACTTTAAAAATCTATTTTATTCCAAAACATGGGTAGCAAATTATATTATGCATTTTCCAGAAGTTGTGATATATATCACTATATTTATTGTGTCTCTTGGCTTCTCAAGGGGTATTTTATTCATGATTGTGAAGACCAAATGTATTTACAGCAAAATCTGTGATATCTGCAGTCAGACAGGAAGGCTGAGAAATCAGAATTTGGGTCATTTTTCAGATGACGCCATATTCTGGAAAACCAGCAGTCTTGAGGCAAGTGTCTATGGAGCTGTTTAGACCGGGCTGGGTCATTCTATATCACGGGAACCAGGCATGAGCGCTGGTCAGAACTTAAAGTTACATCATGGCCTTCTAGAAGGCTCCATTCTTCCCTCAGCATACCGCTTACATTCTAAAAGCCAGAAAAAAGACAATGATATACACTGGCAAATAATGACTCCTTATGGGCACCCCTAGAGCAGAAAAGTTTTATTATTTCTTTCCTCTCCAAACAACAGCCACTTACCTGGTCACCTGGAAATCCTGGAAAACCAATGATCCCTCTCAGCCCCGGGGAGCCTGGAGGGCCTGGGGGTCCAGGAAGCCCCGGCTGCCCATTTCTACCAGGCTCTCCTCTGTGAAATCCAGGTGGTCCGTGTCTTCCCGGCTCTCCTCTGCTCCCTTGCATCCCAGGATTGCCTTTATCACCTGATAGGGTTGGAAGTGTTACAAACCTCTTTGTGGAAATCTTGGGCTGGGCACTAGTTAGGATGAGAGACTTGGTCCTACTTTTAGGAGATGAAGCCAAAGGTACTGGGAATCCTAATTCCTGCCCAAGCCACATCATTATGATTTTTGGCTTCATTGACCTCACTGTAAAAGAGGCTGCCCGAGAACAGACCCAGGGCTATCCGAGGTAGGAGCGAGCATGCAGGATCATATGCCTTAATATGCTCATCTCACAAATGAGGAAGAACTTACTCACAGAAGTTAAAACATTTGTCCCCTAACAACGAGTTAAGGAGAGAGCCAGGACAAGAACGCAGGTCTCATGCAGATTAAGTCTGAACTTGGGAAACAGAACACAAACGTGAGGGTCAAAATCCTTGCTGTGCAGTGTTTCTGAGGACCAATAGCACAGGCATGAGGGTGCTTGTTGGTAAGGCAGAGTCTCGCCTACCCCAGACCTGATTCAGAATCTGCATTTTAACAAGAGCCTCAGGGGACCCATAGGCACATGGAACTTTGAGGAGAACGGGTCAAAATGACTTGAATAGTCATTATGCTATTCATTTTAACACCAGTCACCAAAAACAGGGGTACTTTAAATCTGGAACCAGTATTGTATGTGTATCTCGGGATTGCTCCTACTTTGGAATATCCAAATCTATAAATACATATGAACTTCAGCTAAGTTCTCACATGGAAAAGCACAGAAAAAATATACAATGAGATTCATTAGTGTATATTTATATTCAAAAACTGACCTTTCCTAGACCTTTCCTAGTCTCAGTGTTGCTGGGAAAGTTGCCTAATACACATGCTTGTTTGAATGATCTGTATAGAAATCAACTTATTCGATATAGTTAAAAAAACATAAGTGTTTACCTCCTTCTCCTGGGAATCCACCATCTCCAGGAGGTCCAGGATCCCCGGTTTCCCCCTTTCTGGGAATTATAACCACTTCTCCTTCATCTCCTGGGGGTCCTCTCGATCCTTTAGATGTTAATTATGCAAGAGGAAAATTAACAGAGGCATCATATATGTGATTCTTCTGTTACGACACTTCACATCCAGTTTGCGAAGCCCCATTTAATCTACTAAACTATTGATCACACAGTATCGATCCTGTTGATCGATTTCCTAAAGGAAGGGCTTTTAGATTCCTCTCTGAGCTTGTCCAGGAATGGAGTCTGGTGTGCAGTGAGTGCTCAGCGACCGTTTGCTACATTCAACCAAACTGGTCTCAGAGTCTTCAGTGAAAAAACACAGGCTGAGAAAGTTCCAGGTCTAAAATACGTCTCTTTATCCTGTAAAATTTGAATTTCCCATCTCATATTTTCCAGCTCCCCATCTTTTCCTTCCTAGCCACCCTTAATTATTTTCCTTAGATTGAAAGAAGAGACACTTATCTCAACTTGGTTCTCCACATAGAGAATTCCAAAAAGGAGAAAAGGTATACAATATGTATCTGCCTGATTTTTGTGAACACTGTCCAGTTGCAGAACTGTGCTGGAGGGGGCTCGCAACAACTCGGTAAGAACTGATGATTAACAATTCAAATATTCAGCAAGCCAGTTATTAAACCATTGTCAGCTTTAAATCAGTCACGGTGAGGGTATTTATGCCATGGCGGGAGTATTTACACCACGGCAATCAGCAATCACTACGAGTCAAGACGTTTTTTAAAAATTGTATTTTGGAGAGCCAGCACATCACTGGAATTAACCTAATTTTTAATTTTTTTAGTGGGATAATTGTATAGTAGCATAATAGCACAGCAAACATCACTTATCTAAGCTAGCCAAGAATGACTCTTTGATTCCTTGATTCTACATAAATAATTCACAGGCTAGGACAACAAAAAACAATAGCAGAATCAATCAACTGAGAAGTAAAAGTAATTTGAATTAAATATGAGGCAATTTGCCCAAAGGGCTTTAAGGACGAAAACCTTGTTTCTAAAAATTGACAAGCATTCATTCTCAACAGTGCAAATGAAATGTTACCTTCATTCACTCCAGCATCATGGCTAATATTTAACAGGCATAGGCCCTGAACATTTAAACCAGGGGTCTCGAAACTTCTATTTTTTGTTGTAATGACAACTTTCTTTAAATGAATCTCGGGGGAGACTCAACTCAAGGCCCAGATGAGAGAGGACTCATTCTAGTTCAGAGGTCGGCAAACTGCAGCCCGCAGGCCGGTTTTTGTACACAATCCATGAGCTATGAATGGTTTTTACTCTTTTAAATCATTGGAGGGAAAACTCAAAACAAGAATAATATTTTACGGCATGGGAAAATTAAATGAAGTTCAAATTTTAGTGTCCATAAATAAAATTTTCTTGGAACTCAGCTCTGTTCATTTGCGTGTTATCTCTGGCTGCCTTCATGCTACAAAAGCCAAGTTGAGTAGTTAGAACAGAGACCATATGGCCTGCAAACCCTAAAATATTTACTCTCTGGCCCTTTACAGAAAAAAGTTTGGCTTTTTTGTAAAAAAAGAAAAACTGAAACAGAATCTGGGGGCTGGAATTTCTGCCTGCACCACCTTCCCAATAGCTGAGAAGATTCTCTGAAACCCAATAGCTATAAACAAAAGTACTGGTTGGTTTTTTTCTATTAAAAGAGCAATTCATTTGCCATAGTTATATGTCATGAGATGAGAGGTAAGAAAAATGAATTTTGTTTAAAATTCTAAATCAAACACCACAGAACCAAAAGACAGAGGAATCCACGGTGCAGGATAGCCCCATGTTATTTTCCATAGATCATATCCATAGGTTCTGATCAAACACCGAAACAAACCTAGGTTGCATCACTGTGCTGATGACTCCATTTACCTTTGGCTCCTCTCAGTCCCGGGTCTCCCAGGAAGCCAGGCCAACCCTTCTCTCCAATTTCTCCCTTTCGGCCAGGTTGTCCCTCTGGACCAGGCTTTCCTCTCTCTCCTGGAAACCCTGGGAAGCCAGGCAGCCCCTGGAGTCCTGAGGAAATGAGAATGTGAATTTTTAGGGAAACATTTCAAAGGCTAGTGTGGTCCCTAGATCTGTGTTCCGTGTTGTCCACATAGAGATGCACATTCCCACCTAACTCTGAGTTTGTTTTGAAGGAGAACAACTGCTCTCAACCTCATCGAATGTAAGAGCTGGGCTCTCCCATCCAGTCCTCCGTTTTCCACCCCACGGCTCTGAAGTGTAGGCCCTCATGTTTCTGAGTCCTGATCCCATAATGCGCTAAGAGAAATTGGTGTCGGAGAGGTGGGGTGGAGGGTGGGGGCCCATCCAAAGTAGAAGTACCTTAGCCCTGAACCTACCCTTTATCGGATCCACCCAGTTCATCAAGTAGAAGTGTTTATGGGTTCTGTGGACCTAACACCCCCACTCCTTTTCCCCACCAAACATTCTGCCACTAGAAATAGCAATACAGAGGACAGAAAAAGGGACATGTCACTCAGGGAACAGCAAAATCAGGCTAATACAACAGTGCATTCTATAGTATGGTCTAACAGCAGTTTTCACTGGGCAGTGGATTTCATGTCTATAAAATGGAAGGAAATAATGGAAAAGCACTACCTACCCTTTGGGCCTGGAAGGCCAGGTAGTCCATCATCCCCAAAGGGGCCTGGGACTCCTGGTGGTCCCAGGGGTCCGTCTGCCCCAGGCCGTCCCGGGACTCCAGGGAGGCCCTTCATTCCAGCTGGTCCAGGAGGCCCCACATCCCCTCGCTGTCCTTTCCAACCTGGGGCACCTGAGATAAACCACAGTGACAACAACATATGAAGACCGAAAACTGGCTTCACACACAGGCAGGGAAAAAAATACTCATAGAAGCTTAAATTGTTTATCTATGGCCAATTAAACAATATTTATCAGCTCAAATAACAGTCATAACTCTTCATCAGTCTAAGGATATATTTTTCTGGCTGCTCTTTAAAAGAAGGCAGATTACTTGAGTAAATATTTCCCAGTAGAGATGCATGAATATTATAAAGAGGGTTTTTTTTTTAAATGGAAAATAGATAAGAGTGAAGAACAAAAATATTATTTGTATTTACTCTTGGGGGGGGGGGAAATACTAATAGAAGAAAACTTTCCAGGTGTTTCCTAAAGCTCCGGCCAAGTGAATTTTGCTTAGGCTGCTCACTGTGATGAGAGAGTCACAGAGATCAGAGCAACGTCATTTAGTACTATTGGTGCTAAAAATAAAGCTGTAGTGGCAGAGTTTGCCCCATTCTCATGCCGATCCTGCGAAGAGGGCACATTCCTGAATTTGGACGAATGGAACAGGATTTAAATAACAGTGACAATCTGAACGGTGAAATGAAGATCTTATTGGAAAGAAACCCCTAGCACCATATGTTGAGGGACATCCCTTCACGGGTCTCTTAAGCCCCTACACGTCTTGCTGGGTGTGCCAAGAATACAAGATCCTGACTGCTCCTTACCTGGGCTATTTTTCAAGGTTGTGCATGCAGCAAGCAACCTTGGCCGATGAGACAGCGCCTCCCCCAGTACAAAAAGCAGGCTGCCTGGCACCATAAAATGGAGGTTCCCAGCATCAGAGCTCCTCCCAGATACCACTACCCATTGTGTGCGTGGCATCCATCTAGCCCCTCATGTCACCCCCCTGACTTGGGTGCCATGGGGAAATGGCAGAAACCAATATGAAGCTCATGCTACTTTCTGTGCCATGAATAGTAAAGTCTTTTGTCTGTGCCCCAGGAGTCTTGCTTCTGCCAGCATCAGTAGAAGAGCAACAGGTGAGCTTATTCCTTTGTAAGTGGGGTAAGCCCCAGACCCTTCACAGTTCTTGACACCTACTGACACTTACCTGGACTGCCTGGAGCCCCAGGGAGGCCCGGTTGCCCTGGGATCCCTGGAGCGCCTCTTTCACAGGAATGGCCAGGTGGACCTGGGATACCTGGAAACCCAGCACTTCCCTCTCTGCCTTTGGGACCTTTGAGACCCGGGAATCCGGGCATGCCAGCTGGCCCTGAAATGATACACTGCATCTGTGACACTCATGGCAGAAAACTATATGGATGCCCACAAGAAAGGGTTCATGCTTATCAATTCAGGAAGTAAACATTTTGATCCTGCCTCAGTGCTCAAATGAGTTAAGTCTCTGAATGGATTTTCTTATCACAGATGATAGTAAGCTCCAAATGAATGGGAAAACCAGGCATTGCTGACAGTTGCTTGATAAGGTTATGTAGACAACAAAGAAGTTGCTTATGCAAATTAAAAACCATGTGGATCTTCCTGATTTTAATTAACCTCTAACATTGCATTGCAGCAGGTTTTACACCAAATCTCCACCATACTTACAAACCCGTTCGCACTGTATGAATTTGCATTTTGTAAGATATTTCATCACTTGAGCTCTCAAATTTCTATTTATTGGAAAAACAGTGTCATAATCTTCAGAAAGAAAAATAAATCCCCCATAATTCCATACCCTAACCTAAAAATCTATTTTATTTTTCCATGTGTTCACTGTACATTGGTTCATAGTTTTACATTTTTAAAGTAGTAACCATAGAACACATTCAATTGTTGGATTATTTCACATAGCACATTAATCTGCAAATGTTTTCCATTTTGTTGTAATCTTTACAAATATAATTTTCAATGCTAATAGCTGAACAGTATTCCTTTGAGTGTGTGTGTTGTGTATTACTTAACTCTCCATATTGTTTCCAATTGTTCCTCCATTGTGGATAATACTACAAGAGTATTTTCATATTATAACCTTCATCTTCTACTGAACAGTTCTCTTAAATACATTTTCACAAGTGAGACAGCAGGATTACTGGGTTAAAACGATTTTCATTGACTCACATAATGTATTATCTTGATACTTTCCAGTTAGTTGGGGTTTTGTATATGAATATTTTGACTTGCAAACTACCCAGTTTACAAGGGTGAGGCTTACTTCCTCACCCTCCGTGTGCCCTGTACGTGGATACAATACCTGTGTACTGTCATGGATACCTAATAAATGCTGGCCCTTCCACTGACAGAAAGAACCAGAACAGTGTTTCTAAAAGTCTGGTCTTGGGGTCCACTTCTAGTCACATTCACCCAAGAGGCTAAAGTTCAGACTGGGCTGCTGGGTCCCACCCAATCCTAATGTAAGGAATCACACTTCCTGAGACTGGGGCCCAGAAGACCACGATGTTAATGATGCCCCACCCGGGTGATTTTTAAGTACATTAAAATCTGAAAACCTCCGCTGGGGATCCTGAAGAATCCTTAGTGGTTTCAGAAAGGATGTGAGTCAGTGCCAGGGCCATCTTTCCATCTTGAGTTTCACTGCCCTTCCTGCTACCCCTGCTGGAATGAAAGTCCCTCCACCTTGTCACCTGTCCAAATAATACAGCTTGTCTGCCAGGGCTCAGCTCATGCCCAGCGCTCCCACTGAGCTTTCCCTGAACGCCAGCCCACACTGTTCCCTGGCTCTGAGCTGCTCTTCTCTTACAATCTGTCTTGTCCTCCTTCAACCTGGCAGCGACAGTGGGCAGGTTACACGGTCCCTGCTCCTTGGTGTTAACATACTGTCCTGACTTCAGTGACCTGTTCCAGAGCTGAGCCAGCTTTGGGGACCACAGGGACAGCACAGCCCTCATACCTGCAGCTCCTGGACGTCCTGGATCACCTCTGAGTCCTTTCAACCCTGGCATCCCTGAAGGACCCCTCCTTCCCGGGGGTCCTGGGTGGCCATAAGCAGGGTCTCCGGGAATTCCTTTCTGACCATTCACCCCAGGTGACCCTGGAGAGCCTGGGGGCCCCACAGGGGAGGACCCCTTTTCACCTCTAAGACCTGGATCGCCTATGTCACCACGAAAGCCTAGTGAACAAAAAAAATTGTTTCAATTGTTAAATGTAGAAATATAGAACCAATACATATATAAAACAACTACTTTGATAAAGCCACTTTTTTTAAAAATACAGAGGTACTTACTAAAATTAAGAGTAACTTAATAGGCAATGTTGTTTTTGCCACCTTTGGCAGGAAAGTAAATTATGACTTTGTATTTCCTCTAAGCCAATGATGTTTCCCTAATTGCTTTCGTTCACTGGCAAACAGTCTGTCTGGAATGAGCAGTTTCTACAATATCATAGACCAAGGATAGCTTACAATTCATGCTTCAGGTGGAAGAAGCTCTGAGAACTTATAAAATTATCATAACCTAAAAGTTACCGAAACACAGCTAAGAGCTTAATGTATCAAGAAAAATGATTCCCCCATTATCTAGGGATCCCTGGGACGTTGCTTAATAAGGTCATCCAGTCTTAGCGGTGTATACACATTCCTAAACGAAAAACACTTATTTACCAGGTGGACCAGGTATTTCTGATAGTCCTGGTTGGCCACGCTGACCTTTAACCCCATCCAAACACCTCAGCCCAGGAGCGCCCCGAGGACCTGGAAATCCCTTTGGACCTAAACAATGACAACAATACACAGACTCAATAAAACACAAACCAAGTGAGAACAAGACAAGGTGATTTTTTAAAAACCTATGTTAAGTCTTTTTTAGAGTATTTGTACTTTATGGAAGTAAAGGTGCGCCCTAGCCTGGTTTTCATAATCATTTTATGAGTTGTGTGCTCCAAATAAGCGTTTCATGGAGAGTGATGTTGTAAAGGTGCTTTCTCAAAAGCCATCCTGCAAAGGAGTCTTCCTAAAAGCCTTTGGGATGCACAGCACCATTCAGATGAATCTTTTGGGACCTTCCCATGCTCTGTCCCAAACATGAATGTGCAAGCGTAGCCCGTCCTTCTAGGAGGAAAGAGATGGTGGCCAGCGTGTGGGCTGATAAGAAAGCACCAGAATAAAGACCAAAATCTGTTTCCTTGCATCTTACTGCATTTGCCCTTAAGTGAGGTACGGCAAAAAGCATCTGCAAAAGGAATTGAGATTTTTTTTTAAACATTCTGTGATTTCCTACTAGGAGTTCTTAGCTAAAACAACTTCAAAGAAAGTACAACTGCCAACTTAAAGTTTGTCTTCACTTCCCTTGAGCTGCTGAAAGTGATCACAAACTTTTTTGATCCATCCATGACAACACTCAACGTGAAAAGGAACATTCAATCGGTCAACAAGCAATTCTTCACTCCACATTGCCCTGTGGTGGATGGAATATACTTCCCACATTTTGCTCTGGACTTGGTCATGTGACTTGCATTGGCCAATGGGATATTAACAAGCATGAAGCAACGAGAGGTGTGAACTGTGCCTGTGAAGCTGGGCCTGCCCTCTTGCATTTCTGCAATCACACAAGCAGAGCACCCCCTGGCCCCGCAATGAGATGCGTGGTGCAGACCTGAACCTGACCTGGAGTCAGGGACCAAACCAATAGAGACCATCTTAGATCGGCTGAACCCCAGCCAACCTGCAGACCCATAAAAGAGAAAAATATTTGTGGTTGTAGCCCACCGAGATTTTGAGGTTGTTATACAACATTATTGTGATGAAAGCTAACGGTTATAGAGGGCAAAGGAAAGTCATCCATCATTCAACCTTTAAACACTTTCTGTAGCTGTGTGGGACAAGAAAGGTCACCATTAATAGCCATGCTAGTATTTAATGGGTCAATTTAAGCGAACCGTGAATAAATAAAAAAGAATTAGACAAAATCCCTTCTACAATTTTGGGGTCTAAGTCACCTATAAACAAGTCATTCAAATGAAGCTGTTGCGTAAAAGTGCAATCAAGAATGTAGATATGTGGGCATTTTTCAGACTATTTCTGTAAATATGTGAAGTTTGGATCTCTTGAAAAGTAGAATGGAGTAAAACTTACAATCAGTAAACAAATGATCATTTTTCACTCTTGGGGCACAGGAAAAGAAAGAAGATATGGTTTTAAAATTCTCAAAGGGCAGATGTTTTTACTGATATGTGAAGAAATCAAGATAAATTTTATCGCAAAGAGATAGGAAAAACCTATTCAGAATGTGCCCAAACCAGTAGACTAGAGACCCAATGGGAATTACTACAAATGCTGTTTTCCCATAGTCCCTCAAAACACTCATAATTTAACTAGTTCCCTGAGGGTTTGCTATTGACTTATCTGTCTTGCTGGTTCTTTTACTCTGGGGAATGTTTAAGACAGTATCTTCTCCTTATCATACCTGGAGGTCCATCAAAGCCTGGAGGGCCTGGCCTCCCTGGGTAGGTTACGTTACAAGGAATTGTATCACCTGGAATGAAAAAAAATAGCGGCATTCACATAATTGATAGCCCAGTGTAATGGGACTCACAATGACAACTCAGTCAAGATACTTTTTCATATTGTGTGTGGAATTCAAAGGAAAAGAAGACTGCCCAAGTATCATTAGATCACTTGCACCACTTTTATTCTGGATTCCTAGAAGATCTGTCCTCAAATCTGAACTCCAATCGTCAGAACAGTTATAAACATAAGGGGAATAAGAAAATACGGATTCCAAGAAGTATCAGTTTCAATAACCTAGAAAACATAATGTATTTATAGGTCCGTGGATATCTAATACAATGGAATCCAAAGCTTTGATAAATCATGAAACAGCAGCAAGCTTCCAACAGTGAGTTCAGAAGATTTGGCTGCTATTTTGGATGTGGGGAATTGTGCAAATAAAGAGACCAGGAGAGATATTAACAACAGCTACCATTATTGAGGGCCTGCCATGGGTCAGGTGTTTCAAATATATTATATTATATATATATTATATTATATATTATATTATATTATTATGTAATCTTTTTCCAACCTTTTAAAAGTTTTCAATTTTAATACTGCAAGTCACTATTGTTTGAAATTCATATAACTGTCAAATATATTTGAAATCTCTTCTTTTTTTTCTCCCTAGAATGCTTACAAATGGGTTTTCATGGACAATGATGTATTTCTGAAATGAAATACTAGTGTTTTTTATTAAAATACACTGCATTATTTCGAAAGATTATAAAAAATAGACATTTCGAATATGTATATGTAATTTTAATAAGTCAGATTGTATATGTTGATACTGAGAAATGAATGAAAGGCAATTTTGATATCCCAGATAAACAAAGCAACAAAGATATCTTAGCATTTTAAGGATTTGTTTTAAATATTGATTATGCTGAAATGCTTTCCTTGTCTGACAACGTTCAAGGTTGGAACAGCAGCTTGATGGAATTTTCTTTAGCGGTTCTGCCAGAACTGTAATAACTTTGCCCGGAAGAGAGTGTCCCTCACTTCAGCTTCCATGATTTCACTTGACATTCTGCCACACAAAACATTCAAAATTACCTTTCTGACCCTTCACGCCCTCAGGGCCCCTGCTGCCCGGGCGGCCTGGAGCTCCTGGTGGCCCTCTCTGTCCCGGTAGACCAGGAAATCCCAGTCCTGGAGGACCCCTAGGTCCTGCTCTGCCAGGTGGGCCCGGCGGTCCAGGAAACCCTCGATCACCTGGGGCTGCAGCTTCATGATCCCCCTGGGAAGGTGTGCATCATGAGTCAATTACCAATCTTTGAATGTCATGAACTCAAAGCAGTCATTGTCACAGCTATAGAAGCACATGTAGGAAGCTCATAATTCCAGGAGACAGTTACTCAACAGCAAACGTAATTTAAAATGATTAACTTAGATCCTTCTTAACATTTTACATACATATTTAGATACACATATATGCTATGGGGGGATGTGTGTTATGCCTCAAATATAGAAAGTTATGTGTGTGTTATGTCTTAAATACAGAATAAGAAATTTTATGTAGAACCACCCTCTACTATCAAATATAATAAAATATAAAAACAGGTACATTAAGGGAGGCGGTAGGCTTACAAATTGAGTAAGTTCTTATGTATTTGAAATTGTTTTCCTGCATCCTTATAAGCAGATACAGGGATAGACTCCATCGCCCTCCATGTCTGTGGGCAAAAGGCTGACAAATCCTTTCTCCTCCCGCATAAGAATTTGACCTTTGGTTAACTGTCTAGCTCTGTTCCTCTGGAAACGCCATAAAAACTGGATGCCAACTACATTATGAGGCAATATTGCTTCTGCTAAAATCAATCCCTGGCTGCACATTCCTGGTTTGGAAGAACTAAAAAGATCTGTGTGGAGCCCTTGTTGGGGATTCCTGGAGAGGTGGCTCCTGTAACTGGAAAGTTCCTTGTGCGGTTCCCTGCTAGCTGTGCTGTGGAGATAACAGCTCCTGGGGAGAATGAGGCTCTCAGGTCAGGGGGGCTCACACTTCTGCTATATGCGGAACTCATTTCCTTGCACCCCAACCATATGAACAGCTGCAAGGACTCTCACATACAAGGAATGCCTGACGCTGGCCTGCTGGCACGTTGAGGGTCACGTCTTCTATCCCTCTGGTAGTCTGGTCCCAAATGTGGTCCCACATAGTCTTGTGAGTCTGGATTGTTTTAACAAATCTAGAAAGAACCCCCCCCTCACCCCCATCAGTGGGTGTTATAGAAATTCCTCTCCCAATTTGATCTGTACATATGCTTTGATTTTTCACAATTAGGTTAGTACGTGATGATAATTACCACTCAGTGAGGTTGGTTTCTAAATAGTTTCTTAAGTGAAAGAATGAATGAACAGGGATTATCAAGTCTAAAGCAGACTTCATTCACAATACTTGATATCAGCCGAAAGACCAGAAAGCTATAAACACCATCTAACCTGATTTCCTAGCTTCTCTCTCTTATTCACGTGGACTCTGTCTGATGGAGTTCCCATAAAATCAGAACATGGTCCTTCCCTATTAAAACACTCAGCAGCAGGCAGCAGAGTCCAATGGAAGCGGCACGTGCTTTGGAATAAGGCAGACTAGGTTTTCACTCCTGTTTAGCCTACTTGGTAGCTAGACGACCTTGAGTAACATACTCTAAGCTTCCATTTCCTGACTGTAAAATTGGAAAGATAATTGCTCTTCAGGAGACTGCTCTTATGAGTAAACATCTAGCTTAGTTTCTGTAACATTCAAAACTTTCATATACCCAAGATATTTCACGTTCCTAAACACTGGATCACATCTCATAGTCTTTTTCTTATGACTTCCATTACTACACCTGGACTCCATTCAACACATGTTTGAAAAATGCAGAAATATGATTGTTGGTGGGATTTTCCATCAGCCAATATGTCGATTCAGTGGATTTGTTTCCATCAGCCAATATGTCAATTTCAGTGGACAGTTCACCCTTTCTTGCTGCCGCTTTTCTTCATGCCCTTCTTCACCAGGGAACAGAACTGAAGATAATTATCAGGACCTGTGCTCTATCCTCCACCCTACAGAGTCAACTGAACAGACCTCAAATCAGTGGGGGCTTCGTAGATATAAGGGCCCCAGAAAGAAAGAAATACCATGAGAATGATACAAATGGGGAGAGAAAGTCTTGCTATGATTGAACTACCACTTAGGATTTTAAACCATCTGCAATTACGCCTCACATTTTATAACAATCGTCTTTTTGTAGCAGTGAATTAAGCGTGACTCTGATTTACAGCATGTTGATACTTAATGCGTTACAGTTCAGTAAATTGAGAAGAGGAAAGTAGATACTTGTGTGACCCTATAAGAAAGTGAAATTCTATAATAAGAGAAGAATTATACTTACTGGGGGTCCTGGATCCCCTTTTTCTCCAGCGCGACCATCCCGACCATGTTGTCCTTGCTGTCCTGGAAATCCTGGGGGCCCATCAGGACCTCTTTCTCCTTTGCGCCCTGAGAACAAAAGCCAAAAAATATTTAAGCCCTTTTCAGCAGTGGGTGAAGTAGAAGGAAACAAAGGACTGAAAATAAAGGCAATGACCTTGACTCTGTGTAGGCTGGTACAGATTCGTCTGAGTGTCTCAGTTGACTAAACTCACACAAAGACAACCATGCAAAAGTTAGAGGGGAGAATGACAATTTCCCAACCTAGTGAATCTCTTTATTTGGGAAATGTTCCTTTTCCCATTCCAACAAGGAGGCTGTGAGTTGAGGTGCCAATCACAACAGCATCTTCCCTTTCTTGTGTGATGCCAAAGATGGTACTCCATCCCCTGGCCAAAGTGAATGGGGGAACAGTCTGTGGTTGAGCACTTGCCCCAGGCTAGTTCAAGCCTTCTTAAAATTTCTTTTTCTAAATGGAACTGGCAAAGTAGAGGTGACTTCCATATTTGTTTGTACAACCTTGGAGCTGCCTGTGGCATGTACTCACAGCCAGAGAAAGCCAGTGTTGGGGAGAAAATGCAGATGGCACAATGAAAAATACACGATGTAGAGGAACCTTCTGATGCAGTTGTCCCAGTGCAAACTCTACATCTAAACTTTAAATTTTTACGTCAGTCAGTAAGTTACTTTTTTTTCTTAAACTACTTCAAGTTGGATTTGTCACAAGCAAAATATTCTTGATTAATGCCAGATATTATAATTCAGGGAATAAACATTAGGTAAGTTAAAGGAGGTTTTGGGTCAAACTCAAGTTCACAACAATGAGGATTTGAATATATGACTAAAGAAGCCTTTATGAGACAGAAGATTTGAGGCTCAACATTTACACAACTCTCAAGAGCTGAGAGCATTTTTTAAAGCAATCTTAATAATCCTAAGTCTTCTTATAGAATTGATCTGTGGTCACAGGGGAAATTAATGCAAGAAGATGGTTCATAAGTCATTCACAAAATGGCAGGGAGCTATGACTGATTAGGCTCACCTTTAACTCTTGATACAACCATGTCGCCCTTTTCTCCTTTGCTGCCAGGTAGTCCTGAAGCACCAGGTTTTCCCTTGGTGAAAAATAAGAGGAACAAATCAGTTTAATTGTGATCAGTGAAAAATTATTCATGTACATCTAATCTCTTCTTTCCTTATAAATCACCTGTTCTAGATTCTTCTAGTTTGGCAATCTTGGTCTCATCTTCCCTGCCTTCCAAGATGGGTCTCACCTTGCAAAACTGAGGTTCTTGAATTGCATATAAAGCTGGTGGAATCTGAATAAGGTCTGTACCTGAGTTGACAGAAATGTATCAATGTCAATTTCCTGGTTTGGGCAGTGTACTACGGTCAGATAAGATATCACTGGGGGAAGCTGGGGGAAGCTGGGGGAAGGATACATGGGAACCCTTTGTATGATTGTGTGACTTCTTGTGAGTTGTAAAATAAATATATATCTCCAAATAAAAATTTATAATTAAAAGAAATTTTTTTAACTATCTTGGGCATAGTGACATAGAATCTGGAGGAAAGAGGGGGATAGGTCAACCACAAGAGCTGCCACTACAGCTGAAGGTAGAGGTTTAGGGATGAGTGTGTGATGAAAAACACTGTGATACTGAGAGAAGCTGATGAGCCAGAGAAGAGAAAATAAGAACCTATGCTGTAGTCAATACATTTCTTCTGTATCACAAGTAAACAACTAATTGTGGCTAATGGGCTCACCATGTTTTGACCTCAACATTGCTCTGAGACTGAAGTATTTGGGTCATGGTTTTGTAAGTGTTACATGTTATTGACATTAAGCCATGTCAAAAATCTGGAAACCTACTGTTAGTGTATTAAAGAGGCCAAGCATTCTAGTAAACGCAGTTCTAGAAACACCATACATAGCTTTAGGTTACTTATCTGGTGACCTCAATAATTAGAAAGTCAGACAAGAATTTGGAAGGAGGTAAAAATGGCTGACAAGAACATTTGCTCACACAGATGCCACCTTGCCTTATTTTCATACAATCAAACCACGTGTTCAAGCAAGTTTAATTATCTTTTTAACTAGCCTCTACTAGTTTATAAGCAGTGAACTATAAAGAGGAGAAAATATTAAGCAGGAAGACTGAAGAAGAAACCAAAAATGTACACAACAGTCATGAAAATTCTAATGGGCAAAACGCTTGGGAGCCATTTAACGTAGAGAAAATATAGCTACATGCACACCACTCAGTACTCCCAAGAAGATCACTCCAGGACAGCATCCTGTGTGTAAGGATGTCTGTGAGGCATCAAAAAGGTGGGTGGAACAAATTTCTTAGTAGAAATAGCCAAATTAGACAAGAAAAGAACTTTACAAATAATAAAGTAGTAAAATGGGTTGAGTACTGTTTTAATTCTTATTTTTACTGTATATGCCAAGTCATAAGTGACAACAAGACGGGTAAAATTGTATGGCGTACATTGTGTGGCATACAATAGCCAGTCTAAGAGATGGATAATGAAAATGTCCTTCTGATGGATAAATTATCAAGATGGAAAACTATTCACATGGCATATGAACCAATTTCTCTCCAGAAAGAGAATACCACTGGTATGCTTAATAATGAAGACCTTGGTACCCTGGATGAACGAATACACCCTGGGAATCTGAGCGGTTTATTAGTCTGCACATTAGAGACTTAAAATGTACTATGAATTGCTCTAATGCTCTGCAGATGTAGAAATTTAAGGACTAGAGTCAGATCACAGACTTAGTTGAGCTGGTAAAAAAAGAATTACCCGCACTGCCTTTGGATTTCACAAAAGAGACATTTACTGAGAACCTACGAAGTGCCAGGTGTTTTCTGAGTACTGAGGCCACAGCAGTTAAGGAGACCATCTTGCCTTCATGGCACTTAGACTCTGGTGAAACAAATGTTGAACCTAAGAAATTCCTGGGGCAAAAGTTCCCAACCACTTTGGGATCGAGAGCTATTTTTCACAATTCTAAGACGGGACATCACTAAACCCGGGTGTTAATACAACAACAAATCTCAGCAGCAACAAAAAAGTCCTCTGTCAGGCATGCACTAGTCGTTTATACACAGTCTGGATCAGGGACTTTCACCACAGATGCCCACAGGGGCCATGTCCTTTGGAGGGAAGCAGGCGGTGGGCATGGTGGAGACAGGAGCACCCGGACCTCCTCCCATGGACACGACCACCTCTTGGCCTCTGGCTGTAGTGGGAATGCATTGACCCAGTGGTAATGAACTTCCCATTACTCAAGGGCAGCCATAAATCTCATATTAACAATACAAAAACGAACGTCCTGAGGCAAAACCAAATACGCCAACAGGTCAGATTTAGCCCACGTCAGTTCATGATGTTTGGTTTGCTCTGCAACTCCTCAGGGGTGGTGACTCTGGCCATCTGGGTCACTGGTGTGTACCTTACAGCCTTCCAAATACATTGCTGAATTAAATATAAGATGGGTGTTGGTATATCCAATTTATACATGAGGCGCTGAAGCTCAGGAAGACTGCAGAACTCACCAATGTCAAAGCTGGGATTTGAAGTTGGGTCCGTATGCTCCTAAACCCCCATGCCTTGCACTATAGTGTCCTGGTGGGAAACCCCACTCCAAGGAGTGCTCATTGGCTAAGACGATGGATACAAAGCCTTGGTCCAACCACAGAAAAAGTTGCAAAGAGCTTAAAACTACTTCTCTGTCTTCCACTTTCCCACCAACTATGGCCACTGGGGCCACAGACAAGCTGATGAGAGGGGACATAGTGATTTTCTGTGGTCCTTTTGTGCTCTCTCCTTCTGTCTATCCCTTCCTCCTTTCCTTTCATAGTGCCCCATGGTATGAACCTGGTCCCTAACTGTGACCACAAGGTGATGAATTAAATGCAGAGAAGTCATATGAACAGAAGCATACACAGAAAAAAGGCATCAGATATACGGCCAGTCTAAAGACAAGTCCTGGAGCAGCTGAATTACATAAGCCTTAGCCAGGATAACACTGGATGAACCAGCAATCCACACTCCAAGATGCTAGCCCTGAGAAGCAACTCAATAGGAGCCACATAAATATCTTAGAGCCAATAAAATCTTCATTAAGAAGATTAAGTAGCAACAACAACAAAAATTATTATGATAAAATGTTGAATTAAAAAAGCAATGATAAAATGTAAACTGCTTAATAATTGCAACCATATTCATTCAACATACATGCATTAAGGACCCAGCTCCCTGTTGAGCAGAATTAGCAAGTATGACAAGGGTGGCACAGGGAGAGCTTGATCATTGCCCTCAACATCTCCCCTTGCTTTTCTAATAGGTGCCTCAAGCTTTAAATGTTCCCAACAACACTGCTTCCCTTCCCCACCCCACAGCTGCTCCTCAAGTTGTCTGTCCCATCTTGGCTCCATCCTTTACTTCTCTTCTTCTCATATCCCATGTCCAGTCTAATGGCTCTGTTGGCTCTATCTTCAAAATATATCTAGAATCTGACCACTTCCCACCACACCCAGCACTAAAATGTTAATCTATCCACCATCATATTTCACCAGGATTACTGCAGCAAGCTCCCAGCTAATCTCCCTGCTTCTTCCCTTGTCCCCTATGGTCTGCTCCTAACAGAGCTCCCAGAATGATCCATTTAAAACTAATGTCAGAGTATCTGTCTTTCTTCTTAAAACCCTCCACTGGCTGTTCCATGTCATCCAGAGGAAAAACTCAAATTCAACCCATCTACAAAGCCCCACGCTCTGCAACTCCTCCTACCCTCCACTCAGTTCTTTGACTTCATCTCCTCCTGCTCCACCCCTTACCCTCTGCACTCAAACCACACTAGAGGGTGATGGCTTTTACTGCCATCTGCCATACTGTATATTTACTTGTCTATCTGTTACATGGTGTGTGTCTTCCCCACAAAGTGGAGGCCCCAGGAGGGCAGAGATTGTGTTCTGGTCCCTGTTGTATCTTCAGCACCTAGAACCTAGTATAGCAGGTACTCAATAAATATTAGTTGAATGAATGAATACAGATTTTTTTTGTGGCCATTAATATATTTATAGGTCCAAAACATTAAATATATATCACATTATACATTAGAATGTGGTACAATTGAATTCTATCTCTGTTTCTTTGAACTAGAAAGATTGTTATTGGTAAGAGTTACTCACTGGTGGCCCTGGAGATCCTTCTGCACCAGGAGGGCCTGGGTAACCTTTTTCTCCAAGCCACCCAGGGAGGCCCAAGTCTCCCTTACTACCCTGCCTCCCAGGAAGTCCTGGAGGGCCTGGTGGGCCCATGGGACCGGGCTGGCAGGCACAGAGCCCCATGCTTCCTAGACAGAGGATAAAAGGTAGCTTTGTCATATTTCCTGAATGAAATCCCAATAAAGACTTTACTATACAAAACCAATAGTTAAAATAAGAACAAAAAGGGTCTGATATGCACAATTCTTATTGCAGACAATCGATAATGTGTGATGTGGGGCCATGGGGCACGGGTGCAGGAGTACCTAGGCATGGCTTATGTGGGGTGGATGCATCATTTCTAGACAAATGGGATGTTCTGTGTCTTAATAAACTCATCCTGACAAATTGTAGGAAAAAAAGCTAATGTCCAATTCTACTGAAGAAACTTTAAAAATAAAAAAGCTCCTTATTTTTAAAAGTTTAAAAGTCTCTTGCTTGGTTACTACTAAAAAAGTCTCTTAATTGGTTCCTGCTGAAGAAACAACAACAAAAAAATTGGTTAGACTACAAACTCCAAACTTTAAAGAATCAAAATAACATGCGAAGAGGAATTACTGACTGCACTGCATATTACAATTGTTAATTCACTATAATGCATTTTCTAATCATCAAGAGTTTTAGTCTAAAACAAGGTCTATAGGATAGTCAAACCTCTCAGCTCTCACACCTGCCTGACTCAGTTGGTCAAAAAGGCACCAAACAATTTAGGGTGGAGAAGCATAGAGCCATAGGCATTTGATGAGTCTGGGAAATATGGGACCCACACAGAGAAACTGAAAGAAAAGATCAATACTGTCCTAGCTCTGCTTCTTTCATGGAACCAAGAGGATCTTGTGAAAAAAGTCACCACCTTGAGGCAAATTCCATGCCCAGTAAGTGTCTTCTTTGTACTTGAGATGCAAGGATTTGACTTTGTGGTAAGTTCTAATCGCATCATAAGCACATAATGAGGTGGAGAACTCACAGTGGGTAACTAAGGTGAGTAATATCTACATTAACTGCTACCTTGTATGTTTCACAAATGCCCCCCAATCTTCCATATGTTGTCTTCTAGAACTTCTACCTTTGATGCATACTTGCCTTTTTCACCTTTTGAGCCTCTTCTTCCTGGAGGACCCACTTTGCCTTTCATTCCTTGTGGTCCAGGGTGCCCAGCAGTACAATATATAGCTTTACAGTGGGGAAAGGGATGGGCAGAGAGAATCACACAATTTTTGTGAGTGTCTTCTATAGAACAAGTAGAAGTGCCTCTCCCACTCACATCTCCCCCTCAACCCCACTCTTTCTTCCATTCTTTTCCTATGATTCTTTCTCTCTGATAGAAGAATATATACAAAAACAGACCACACAATTGTCACAGCATGCTTCTGTCACCACAACCTTGATAAAGACATCCCTAATCTCAGCCCTAATTTAGTGGGTTAAAGAGCAAGGTAGTATGCAACAAAACACAGAACAAAACAAATAAAAAAATTAAGAGTAGGTGTACAGCAAAGATCCTTTTTCCCCTTCAATTATAATTACCTAATGAAGAAGGCATAGAGCAGAGCTTGTAAAAGAAAAAAATCAGAGACATCTGGTTAAAGATGACAGATAAAATACAAACAATAAGTTCCTCGTTTTCCCCAAATAACAGACAGTAAAAGAGTATCACAAAAAGGCATAAGCCTGCAGGACAAAGAAAAAGGAAAAGAAACAACAGCAAAAAAATGTAAAAGGACTCAGCAGACGCTAAAAAGCTGAAATTCTAAGCAGGCAGTGGGGAAAGCAGAGAAAGAACACAATTTACATAAGAAATCTCTCCCAAAGTTCAGGAATTTGTACCTCTGAAGTAGAATGAGAGTAAGACCCAAAACAAGATGGTTAATTAAAGAAAGAGTTAAACCATAAGATCCCCTTCTCAAGAATTGCAGCAGGAAAACACAATAACCCCTCATAATTGGAGGAAACAGACAATGTAGTAAGAAGAAAACTTTAAAAGAAACTATATAATTAAAAAAGCAGATGAGGGAAGGCATCTCATCCCTGAGACATGAACAGGCTGCTGCAAAAGGAAACATTAAAAGAAAACAAAGGCAACAATAAAATCTTTGGAAATCAAAAAAAAAAAAAATTGATTACAAAAGCAGAAATTTAAAAATTCAGGAACAGAGTTGGAAGATGGAGTTGAGGAAGTCTACCAGAAAGTGTTACAGAAAAGTAAAGGTGAAGAATAATAAAGATTAGAAAAAGAGACATGGAGGACTGATTCTCTAATAGACAAATATATAGAGAGACAAATATATAGAGTCCAGAAAGAGAAAACAGGGAGAAAAAATGAAGGAAAGAATATTTTCAAAGAAATACTTCAAGAAGTTTTTCCAGAAGTGAAAGATTTGTGTTAAATGAAAGTGCTCATTGAGTGCCTGCAAATAAATGCAAATGTACCCACACAGAGGTAAATCATTGTGAAATTTAAAGATAGTGAAAACAGAAAACTTCCTATAAGCTTTCAGAGAAAAAAACAGACTTTGAACAAAGGAGCAAATATCTAAATGTTATTGGACTTCTCAGTAACAATACTAGAAAACAATGAGAAATGCCTTCAAAAACCTGAAGGAAACATATTTCCAACCTAGAATTTTATACTCAGCCAAACTATCGATCAAATTTCACAGTAGAATAAAGGCATTTTCAGACTGTTAAGATCTCCCAAATTTACACACTTTCTCAGGAAGTATAATGAAGGAGTAAATCATTGAAAGAAATATATGAGTTGTGGGAAACAAAGGAACCCAGATAGAGACAAAGACAGAGACAGAGAGAGAAAGAGAGAGAGAATTCCGGCGATAATGGTCAAGAAAAATCTCAAAAGAGTGTCTCAGCAGCAGCTTAAAAATCACAAGTTGACCTAATTTGAATGGATCAAAAGCTCCAGGAGAAATTTATCCACAGAGATAATACTGACAGTACACTTAATAAGTTAGAATGCATGATTAGGATATTTACACAATTTCAGGTGGTCTGAGGTTGAATTAGCAATAAATATATTGAACACCAAGCAAATACACAAACAAGAAAATCAGATAATTATTAACAAAATGTTGTGCTGAAAAGTAGTAATATATATTATCATGTGGCTGAACTGATGAATAACATTTATACAGCACTTCAGTGTAAACGCTGAGTCTTTATTTAACTAAGATTATGATAATAACTGTACTGATAGGTTGTGGGAGTGGAAAATGTGCACGTGTGTGGTAAGGGGCAGTGAAAGAGAGCTAAATTCATCTTCTATAGAGGGAAGTCAAAAGTCAAATGCTCAAACTGAAAAATTAAGAAATGGCAATACAAGTACATATGTGGAATGGCAATACAAAAGCAAATAACAAAAGATCCAGCTAATTGTATGGGAAATAATTGCCCCTGGGGTGGAAGGACTAGGAGAAGGGGTTGCCTGGGATGGCAGTTCTTCAGAACAGGCTTTGTAGGACTGTTTGATGCTTAAGCCAGGTCCATATATAACTCTGATAAAAATGAAAACCACATTTAAAAAATAAAAATTGGGGGCTGGCCCAGTGGCATAGAGGTTAAGTTTGCCCACTCCACTTCAGTGGCCCAGGTTCACAGGTCCAGATCCTGGGTGCAGACCAACACACTGCTCATCAAGCCATGCTGTGGTGGCATTCTACATACAAACTAGAGGAAGATTGGCAAAGATGTTCACTCAGCAACAATCTCCCTCAAAAAATAGAAGATTGGCCCTGAGCTAACATCTGTTGCCAATCTTCCCCTTCCTTTTTTTCCTCTCACCAAAAAATAAAATAAAATAAAAATTGTATTAATTTACAAAATTCTTTCATCACACTTAAATCTCAACCAAATATTTTCACATACATCGATAATAGTCCAATATCCATTTACTTTTTTGTATTATTAAGAACACTAAGTTAGCTCACGAAATATTAGATAAGCTTTTGACAATTTGGAAAGTCACATTTTCTGAATGACACTGCAAATATCAAATGCAACATAAACGTCAATGAAAGCAAATGGGAGCACATTACCGTCTGATCCTGGAGGTCCCTGCCGCCCTGGTGCTCCAGGCAACCCAGGTGGTCCCGGGTTCCCTGACTTTCCTGGAGCAGAATCAGCTCTCCCAGGAATACCAGCTGCCCCTGGAAATCCTGGATGACCAGGAAACCCTCGTGGCCCAGGGGGTCCCATCATGCCTCCAAGAGAAACCAAGAATGAACACCACATATACTCTCAGATTAAACTTTTCGGTAGAAGAAATCAAATCAGTACTTTCTTCCCTCGGCTGTGGAATTTTTTCAAGGAAAAAAAACGTAGTTAAAAAATAACTGACTATCCCAGCCATCAAAATGCCTCACCTCCTTAGAAACAAGCACACTAGTGGAAATAAACAGGTTTGGGGAACTAGATTTTCTTACCTTTTCCTCATTCTTTAGTGTTAGTGAGAAAGAAATATATATTACTTAATTAAAATTATTTCTTTAATCTACCCACCTTAATAACTTGATAAAATAATCTGAATAAACATATTAGCACATTTAGTGAATAAATATATGAACTCACATAATCGTCTGCCTAGGACATAAAATACCATCACAATCCAGTTAGGAGGAGAGCATCGAGATGCTAAATTTGAACCTGGCCTCTCCCTCTCCAGCCACAGATACTTAAGTAGGTTATTTATCTGCTTTAATCCTCTATATCTAACTCAGAGTGTTGTTTTGAGGATTAAATAAAATAATCCATGTAAGGAGCTTAGTGCAATATCTAGCAATAGTACGTGCTCAATGAATGATTACACGTTTAGTGTGTTCAGAAGTCAAAGCGAGTAATGCAACAGCAGCTAAATCTTGTTTCCCTTGACATCCTACGCCCTCTCACTGGCGGCTTTGGCTTAAAGACAGCTGGAAGCCTTCGTGTGAGAGAGAACACTTCTAGCTGCTTCTTCCAAGCATGCCTGGTTTCAGACTCTCTCTGTGGAAGACTGTCATTTTCAAAGACAGCCGCCACAGTAGCTCTTGTCTCTCACTCTCTTGTAGAATCTTGACACTCTCATATCAAGAGATGGAGTGTTCCCTTCCCCTTGAATGTGACAGGCTTTTGTGATTGTTTGGACTAATGGAATATGGCGGGAGTGACACTAAATGGTTTCCAAGGCTAGATTATTAAGTGTGATTCAGCTTCTGCCTTGTGAGCTGAAATGCTTGGGAATGGAGTCCTGACCCACTGTGGAAGCATTCTCACTGCTCTGAAGCCACCAGGCTGTAAGGAAGCCTGAATTAAGTACAGAACCACACAGAGAGGTCGTGGGACTACACAAGAGGTACAGGAGAGAGATGCCCAGCCAGTCCACATGGTCCAATTCCAGCCACTAAAACCATGGCTGCAACCACTTGAAAATCCCTGATCTAGAATTGCAGTTTTAGCCCTTTCTGAATTCTTGAACCACAGAAAGAGTAAAGGGTAATATGCTGACTGTTATTGATTTAAGCCACTAGGTTTTGGGTAATTTGTTCAGCAATAGATAACTGAAACCCTGTCAGTAATTAGTAATTGAGCACGCTAGTTAAATTGATGGCTTTCGTTATTGTGTGCATATGTGCTGGGGCTTTACAAATATTTTCAGACATTATCTTTACTCCTGAAACAACCCTGCAAAGTTTGTACCTTGTAGACAAGGCATAGAAAATTTATGCCAAATATGAGTAATAATAAAAATAACATAGTGAGTCTTTACTATACGCCAAGCTGTATTCTAAGTACTGTATACATACAGTACTGCTTTCAACCCTAACAAGAACTCTATTGTGAGATTGAAAAAACTGAGGCACAAAGAGGTTAAATAAATGCCCAAGGTCACACAGTTGGTAAGTACTAGAATCTGGAATGTCTATAGTACATAGTGAAAACCCATAACTATTTCACTATCCTACACTAAGTGGGAAGGTTGAGATTCAATCATAGGTATCTGATTTCAAAATCCTACTTATCTCCTGGTGAATATTGTATATGACTATAAAATAAAGTATGTATAGTAAAGGCTATACACAGTGATGTACTTAAAACAAAATGGAAGGTGTTCCTGTGGACTTGGCAGCCATCTTGTCTTCATGCCATTCCTAAGACCCACCTCAGAGTCTCTACACACAGTCATTGGATGGAGCTGGATGCCTGCTGTCTTGTTCCAGTGCCAGGGAGAATGCTCAACCCTCTTCCAACAAAGAGAATGAGTTACAGAGTATGGCATGTCGCAGTCTTGACCACCCATTTATAGAGCATGAAACTAATGAAGTTGTGGCCAGCATCAACAATTTGTTTTTTTAAAAAAAGAATGGAATAGAAAGTGGAATATAGAGTACATGATATACCCAAAAGGTACTATTTTATGAAATTTGTTTTTCAATCATATGCATATATGGGTACATATATGTGTGCATAATGTAACATAAATGCAATATAATATAAAACGTATTTCTTACAATAGCTTGTGTTCAAAATATGGGTTAATTCTTTTTTAAAAAGTTTGTGGAATTAAGAGACTGCCTGTTATATTTAGTTTTGAATCTGCTAGAGATGAATGTTACTTACTCCTATTGGGTTTTGATTTCAATCTACTGGAGGCACTATTTTATTATAAATAAGCCCAAAAGGAGAAAGGTAAGACCAGAGTCTAGGGCTTCCTAACCAACAGAGTCCTTGATATGATTTTTATTGTCCTGGGTCAAGTCAGTTGAGCCAAGGCTACCAATCTAAAGATTCAATGAACTAGACACAGCTTTACTACCTTTCTGGTCATCGGATCCTACAAAGTGGAAGCTAGATTCATGGATGGTTAAACAAGAATTTTGCAGTTAATGGTTGAACATCTCAAGAAACTTCTCACTAAATATAACAAGAGACACAGACTGGATAAAATTACATTTATTCAAGACTTTTCTCCTTCATGTTTAATCAGTTCTCCTGGGTTCACAGAATGCAAATATCCTCTAGAATTCTACTCCTAATCTTACTAGGAATATGAACCAGCACAACACTTGAAGGAGTTCAAAGTTCTTATGTCAATAGAATTCTTTCCCAGGCTCTTCATCAAATATTACCATGAGCTATAGGGGTTGGGGTTTTTCTTTTTTTTGGGGGGGGGGGAATGTTGTTTTTTGGGTTTTTGGGGGGAGAGGGTTGTTTTTCTATTGTGTTTTTAACTACCAAAATTTTATTTTTTAATTCATAATTTGTATTTCCACATTTCATGTAGGAGATTTAAGTTGGGGCCTTGGTGAATGAAACAAATTTTAAGAAGTAGATGTCAATAGAGAGAGCCTTCCATAAGGGTAGAAAAACCTAAAGAAACACTCCAACCTTAGCAGTGGTTTCCAAACCTTATCTGCACGTGATAATCTTGTAGGAAGCTTGTTATACATACATGTTCCTCATCACACCCCTGAGATACTGATTGAATATTTCTGAGAGGCAGCCCAAGAACCTTTATTTGCTCCAAGGAAGTGATTAGTTGGTTTGAATTCAGTGGTTCTTAACCCTGACTATACATTGGAAATACAGGGTTGCTTTTACAAAAGCAGAGGCCTAGGCCCATCCCCCAGAGAGCCCAATTCTTGATCTGGGGTAGGCACAGCCATCAGTATTTTTGAAATTCTCCTAAGGTGATTTCAATATTAGCTAGAGTTGACAACCGCTGGTGTGGATGAGAATATAGGAAAACTGGCACATAAAAGCCATGGATTCGTACCTGCACAGGCTTCCCCTGGGCTACCTGAGTGACCAGGGGGACCAGGTGGTCCAATAGCCCCCACTTCTCCATGGCGGCCAGGAAACCCTGGATCCCCTGGAGGGCCTGTTGAAAATAATCACACGTGAATATAATCAACGTATATATACATTTTAAAATTCACACACCATTACTCTTTCTGAGGCTTGGTAAAGTACAGCTGGGAGACTGCATGGCAGTTTCTCACCACATTGAAAATGCAACATCTTAGATTCGAACCCCTTCAGCTGCCTCTCCTCTGCAGACACATGAACTTTGAGTGGCACTGTCTTTGTCATTGGTTTAGGCCACTCTTTTCTTGGAGGAAGCATCTCAGGAGGTCTTAGTCAAATGGTTTCACACGTTTTTTAGCAATTAAAAAAAACTACTTTGTGAAAGGTGACGTACCAAAAACCCTAGCATACAGTTTATATACTAAAATAAAATTCGATGTCTTACACCAATAGAGATTATCCAGGATGCACACCTCTCCCTGCACTTGCATAATTATATATTTACCATAAAGTTCATATATTTAGCATGCCTAGTGTGAAAACTACCAAAATACTGGGCCAGACTCTTCTGTCAGGGCCACTCAAATCTCATTTCTTAATAATTTATGGAGAAAGGGAACAGAACACAAACCTTTCAGTGGAAGAGAGGGAGTTGTCAAAACACCTGGTGGCCCTGGGTCCCCGCGATATCCAGGATCCCCCTGAAATAATTCATTCATTCACTTTTTGTAGAAAGAGTAATATTCTTCTTACGTTTCCTGCCACTAAATAACTATTAGGATCATGAGTGCATTTGTGCTTATAGGTAGACTAGAGAAATGAATGGCTCAAGGAGTGCTGGGAGGAACAAGGTTATTCAACCTCCCACTTACAAGCGGAAGTAAATAACCAACTGGCAAAGTTCTCAGAACAGAGCAAAAAATTTAAACTCCAAAAAATTATTCCATGCCCGTAAATTAGATACCTTTGAAGGTGTGAAATTTCTTAGATATAATATAAGCATTAATGTCTAACTTGAAACTCTAGGACAAATAGTTTATTTGCCTACAAGATCTGAATCTACATTTATTTTAGCAGCAAATATTTTCATCCTTAATTGTGTCCCCTTAATGCCATCATGGCTTGCCCCAAGCAAGTGCCGAATGTGAGGTCACAGAGGTTACACAGGAAAGAAAAAAATGTCTTGGTGGTGAGAGGAGAGAGCTCTCCACAGCTCCTTCTGTTTTCTAATCTTGATACAAGGTGATCCCCATGGAATTTTTGAAACTTTCATTATGATTCACCTTCAAAAGAATCATTTCTCAAATGTAAAATGGAATCATTACAACATGAATTAAAATAATATATTCAAAATTAACTGTCTCTATCAAGTTACATTTTTGAATGATTCTTTGAAATATATTTAAATAAATTAGATAACAAAAGAGATATAGAATTTTATCAGACTGTACTCAAATAGGCTTATTTTTTTACCTTTGGACCAAGAAATCCAAATGGCCCAGGCTCTCCAGACAGTCCTGGTTCCCCCTACAAATAACCACAAACATGCCTTTTTAGAAAAAATGTGATTGGGTGACAAATTATCTCATTCTTGTTTAATTTGAAGGACACGTGCTCATTGAGATTCTTTGCAAAATCTTAACATTGCTTTTGGGCTGCATCAGACAGTTCAGTGTTTTGGTTTTTGCAGCCACAGCTAAATTATCCAATTCATAAAACGAATGTGTTTCTCTTTCCAATTGCTGTGCGCGCGTTTGGATGCAATAATACAACTTTTGAATGATATCGAATTTCATTGACTAATGAAAATGTATTTATTATCTCTATAATAGTGTGCATTTACCTTTAATCCTGGAAAACCTGGAGATCCATAGGAACCAGGGTTACCCTAATAAATTCACAAAAATCAACACAAGCAGATTTAAATCAAAATGCATGAACCAGTTCAATGCATCATCTTTACTAAATGGGATTGCTCCACGGATATTTAATCTTGCCTACAAAGGCAGTTGAATGAAAGGAAATAAACATAAAATAGAGTCCATTTCTTTATAACATTTGCTATTGTAATTGATCTTTAGTCTGATTCCAAAAGTCATGTCCTTGCCAGGGTTCAAATTAAGAACATATTTTTGTTGTTCCTTCTTTTTAATTTATTTAACTTAATGCTTGCACTGGGCGAAATATCTTTAAAATCATTGCAGTATAATTTAATTGGAGATTAATAGTTGCTCTATGCATTATCAGTAATAAAATTTACCATGAAAGCCAGTGTTGTTCTATTAAGTTCTAAATATGAAGCCAAATAAACTCAGTGCCTGTGCCTGCTGGGGTCTGGCCTCCATAGTGACTCTATGAATGAGGATCCCATTAGCGACACATGTGGTGATGTTTCAGACCTAAAGCTGTGCTTTTTTTCTAGCTACTGCCCTAGATCAGTACCTTCTTTAATCAAATAGGCTTAAAAGAACAATTCCAAGTTGCTATCACACTGACCCTAAGCCAGGCAGGAAATGCTACAGTCCTGTTACTTCCCGCCAATTCTTTCATCTTCTGCTTGCCTGTTCTATGTAAATGATGTCAATGGAAGGGATGTTCCACTGGGACGTTTAGCCATTACACAATTCTTGTTGTCCAAAATATATTGTTCCTATTTGAGATCATCTCCACTTTTGAGTTCTCAGAAATGTTGATCTGGTCTTATTAAAAGTGAGAGAGAGGAATGCGTCCAAACTTAATGAAGAGAAGGATGGCACGAATGATCTTACCCGAGGTCCTGGAAACCCAGGAACACCTTTCTCTCCTTTTTCTCCAGTACCAGGGACTCCCTTAAAGAGATGACAATAATTATATGAAATGTATGCAATATTTCAGCAATATGGAATGCAAAAACAAAATGAGAAATAAAAATTATTGCCAGTAGCTTAAAGAAAACAACTCCTCTAGGACAGATGCCCTAGGGGCTTAGGATAAAATAGTAAAAATTCTAGTAATATAAATTAGCATTTAAAACAATGATCAACACAAGGCAAAACATTTTTTTTAATTAAGATAGCACATCATACAAATTTAAAAAGGTACTTAAATAAACTACCTTGGGTCCAGGAGGTCCCGGAGGTCCAATCATTCCAGGCATTCCTTTTATACCCTAAAAATCACGATGGATATAATCTGGCTCATTCTTATTTAACATACTGAATTTCATCTCTTTTAGAAATGATCTCTTTCGACAACCATTTTACTAATTTTTTAGTAAGAGATTATTCTTCAACTGTCACTAATTAGTAACTAAGATCCCAGCGCACTTATTAACCTGACGCTATTCAGGCCAGTTCTGTTTGAGAGGTGTAATCTTGCGGGGCACAGGGGTGGACCACCATGGAACCAGGGCAGCAGATGCAAGCTGGGAAGGCAGCCATTGAGAGGAGTGGCTCATTTTGAGCAAGGTAGTAAAATTCAGTCCAGGAATTGAAAATCGACAACAGAATCTGCACATGGCATGGGTAACATCAGTGCTGGAGGCTGACAAAGGAATTATTATTTGCCAAAAGTATATTACAAGCTCAGTTCTATAGATCTGTTACCTTATCAAAACATCAAACCATGTAACATCTAAAGGACAGCTGGACTTCCAGTGGTCTTTTCAGCCCACAAATCAAAAATAATATTAAAGGGGGCACTATATGCTGAAGGACATGTCACAATCTAGCAGCCTGAGCTAGGTCTGCGACTGAGCAGCTGGGTCAGCTTGAGAACACTGGTAACCTTTCCAAGCCTCATTTTCCAGCTCTATACAATGGGGCTAATAGTACCAACCTGTTAAGGTTGCTTTGGAATTAATGCAGTGATACTGGCACAGGTATGTGTTCAGAAAATGTCGGCTATTACTACTTTACCAAGGTCACACACAGACAGGGAATTACCTTTTCTCCTTTATAGAGACTAAAATCAGGTGGCTGTACCAACAGGGTGGGTCCCGGAGAACCTTGCTGGCCAATCTCACCCTTTAAAATAAAATTAAGATGATAAGAATTGTATATTCACTTTATTTTGAAATAAACTTTGAAAGGACGACTTTCACCCATATGTTGTGATGTGATGTTTACAATCCTGTGTATCATGAATTAAAACAAAAATCAAGGTAAATACATCATGTAATTTCAAATATTTACTGTTTTTCATTAGTAATACATATTTATCATTAAAAATAAATTTAAAAAATAAAAGTGATCCATGATCCTATCATCTGGAGGTAATTTTTATAAAAACTTGGGTATAAGGACTGGCCCAGTGGTGCAGTGGTTAAGTTCACAAGCTCCACTTCAGCACCCCGGGGTTCACCAGTTCAGATCCCGGCCTTGGACCAACACACCACTTATCAAGCCATGCTGTAGCAGGTGTTCCACATATAAAGTAGAGGAAGATGGGCACAGATGTTAGCTCAGGGCCAATCTTCCTCAGCAGAAAGAGAAGGAGTGGCAGCAGACATTAGCTCAGGGCTAATCTTCCTCAAAAAAGAAAAAATAACTTCAGTATAGTCCTCTGTGGTGTATGTGCGCTTGTGTTTATGTGTGTGTGTATATACACACGTGTGTGCTTAAGGTGCACAGGTACATACACATATATGTGATTAAACGGTGTGTTAAACATAATTTAAAATATATTGTAATCAGAATATTATATAATAATATATAAACATACTTTATATTTTCATATTTTATTAAAATTTTAAATCATTTTATACTTTTCTTTTATAACACTACTTTTTGCAAAAAATTCTTCAAAAACCTGATTTTTAATGCCTATACAATAATCTATCATAAGAACATACTATCATTTATTAAGCCATTCCACTATCGTTGGATTTAGGTTATTTCTAATTCGTTTTCAATAGTATTTTAAACCTCTCTGTATAAAATCAATAGCCAAAAGTTTTCATTTACATCATTGTAGATGTCATTCTCTTAAAGAAGAAAATGTACCTTGAATTGGTTTTGCCGCAATACAACCATAAATTCTTACCCTTGATTAGAAGATAATTGTTTTGTACTTTTCTGAATATTTCTATTATTCTGCACTTAGAATTCTCTTTGCCTCTTGTGTCGAGCAGATCACCTGTGCTTACAAGCCAGCTCCTTACTGACTGTTCCTTTGGGCAAGTTCCTTAAAATCTCTTTATCCTTAGTTTCTTTAATCCCTGTAAATCTTACTTTCCTCCTGTGTGAAATGAGGATTATAATACTGCCTACCTCAAAGTGTTACTTTACGGAATAGATGATGCACCAGAAATACTACACTGAGTGGAACAAAGTAAATCCTCAAATATATAGTTATTAAAATGATTCATGTTTTTGAGAAATGAGATTTGGGGATGAAAAATACTGTTTCAAGTTTAAATGAAAAAATACAACCAATAATTCAATCCCTACCTAAGCATGGGAAATGACAGAAGAACAAGGAGTTTAGGGCCATTGGTGGTTTTGTTTCCTTGATGCACCCTAGAACCTAAGACAGTGTTGGTGTGGTAGCGGCTCTCAAGAGATCTGTTGTGTGAGTAAATAACTGAACAAATGCATAAACAATACACGAATAAGTGTGAACATGGATTATAAAAGTAACCATGCTTATTCTTGTAGCTGGAGTAAATCTGAACAAAACCTGTAAAGGTTGACAAGCCAGGAGCCTCTTCAACATGTTGGTCATGTTACTATTACTTCATATGGTAAAAGTACCATATATTCATTTTAGTCAAAAGGACAAAGAAGATAAATTATGAAGAGCAAAATTTAAATGATCTATAATCATATCACCTAGGAAAAATTCCTGAAAACCATTTAGGGCAGTGTTTCTTAAACTAGGGTGGGTAAACATGTCCTTGAACATCTGAGAGTTCTGCATCAAAATTTCAAAATTATGTTTTTATTCGCCTGACAATCCAAAAGAATTTTTAAAAAGCGTACTTTGGGTAATTTGAACAGCCGCTTCATAGCGAAATACTTCCGCGTTCCTCCGTGGAGTTTGCAAGTGGCTCTGATGGCGTTGGTGCTGAGGTCACTAAGCTGATAATCCATTTCTCACTCTATAAGACAGTGTTTCTCAAACTGGGTACACGGGCTTCCGGGGTTTTGACAAACATTCTCTGGGGCCCATGACTTCCCAAGTTTGAGAAACGTTGTTTTAATATATTTTCTTTCAGTCATTTCTCTAAGTTAGTGATTCTCAAGGAGTGGGGGCAGTTGGACTAGCCCTCTCCCCAGGGACATTTGGCAAGATCCTGATGCATTTTTGGTTGTCACAACTCAGGGGGAAGGGATGTTATTAGCATCTGGTGGGTAGAGGACAAGAATGTTGCTAAACACCCTATGATGCACAGGACAGCCCCCACGACAATGAAATATCAATAGTGTCAAGGTTAAGAAATCCTACTCTACCTGTGTATTTTAATATCTTTTTGTTTGTTGTTGTTTTTACAAAGTTGAGTTTACACTTTTGTAACCTGTACTTTCCACTTAACATTATATCATAGGCATTTCCCGACATCACGAATTCTTCCAATGTATTTTTGGCAATCGTGTCATTCTGTTAAATGGCTATATCATAACTTATCCAACCGAGCTGGAACTCCATGAGAGCAGGGATCAGGTCTGTCCTGCTCAATCCCCACACCCAGCACCCATCCTAGCCTGGCACAGAGTAGAAGCTCAGAGTCTATTTGCCCACAGTTGTTGAAAGAGCTGCTCACCAGCTGTTAGATAGTCAGATAGTTTCCAGATGAGCTTAAAACTTAAAACTCTTTTCTAAAGCTTATCCTTGCTAAGTTTCATGCTTCAGCAGAAAAGACTGTGGGTATAAGGGAGGGAGAGGTGGGGACAATGAGGTGGCATATGAGGGAGGGAGAGAAGGGGAGACTGCGGGTTGCTAGATCCTTTTGGTTCCACTTATTTACATTTTTATTTATGTGTGGAGTTTAGGATTCTGATGAAATTTGTGAAATTAAGATAAACAAATCAGTAATTAAACAAAATTGTTACTCTAGTTGTAACATTATTAGAAACGTTCAATCTCTTTTTGCTAGATGAAATACATCATGTAAATTAACTTGAATTAAGTGCTAAATTTTGTCAGAACTGTCATTTTACAGTCAAGGTGACGGTGCCATAATAATTCAACAAAGAAAAATTCTCAGCCATAAAATTGGTCAGAGACTAGATACGAACACAGCTTAAGTGATCATCAGAACAGCCTCCACACCTGGGCAGCACATACATTTTAATATCTGCTCCTCCACGCAGAAGGGGATTCTTACCGGGTCTCCCATTTGCCCCTTTACTCCCACGCCAGGATTACCCTGGAAAAGAAAAAAAAAAAAATCTAATTGTTTTTGAATATTAAAAAAAGTAATTACAAGCAAGTAAGACTTCTGGTGAATTTACTGAAGTTTATTTATTAAATTCTTTGGGAAGTCTAAGAGGAAAGACATAATTCTGACATATATCAGTGGTCACTTATTTCACTGTACAAGAGCTCTCTTTGTGTATCTTACTCGTGGCCGCCTACCTTCAAACCTGGACTCCCAGGATGGCCCGGAGGTCCCTATATCAATGGCAAAAACACACATATCAAATATTAGTAACAGAAATCGGAACGTATCTTCATTGGTTGCCCCAAGTTCCTCCTCAGGAAACCCTTAATTTTAAAACATGCATCATGGACCTTCTATCATGGCTGGGCTGCATGTTACCCGGGGGGACCTCTGCTTCGAGATGGACTCACACTGATAATGGCGGGTGTGCGCTGGTTCATCAGGTGATAATCTGTCAAAGAACCCAAAACTGACCCAAGACTGCAATTGTGCTTGTTTTGCTTTGTTGAAATGTCAGGTCAGGGTTTCTAGGGGACAGAATGAGTGGTGCTGTACTTACTGTTAACCCCGGCGCTCCCGGATATCCCACTGGGCCCACTGGTCCTCTGGAGCCCCTTGATCCCTAAACACGAGAAAAATCAGCACGTTTGTTACCAAAAACCATAATCATGGTTCACTCAGCAAGAGCTGCATGTATTGCCTGGAGGATAAAACCCACTAAAGAAATCACAGTCCTGGACACATGTGCCTGCCTTGCTGGAACATCTGGGACAGCAGCTCTGACACCGCTAAAAGGTCGCAGAGCTAGAAGGCAGCAGAATCTGGTAGGTGTGACAAACTCCTATGTTTTTGTTATACATCAGGGTGCTTTTTAAATATTAATATTAATTATCATTAATTAGTATTAAAATATGAATGTATTTATACGTTTTAATATATTCTTTAAATGTGTCCTATAAGATCAGTGTGAATAGAAATGTTGTCCCCAATTCAAGATCAAGACGATCCAGCCATAAACAGTTTTCTGCCACACATAAGTCGTGGCATAATTACACAAAACTCACAAGGAAAGGTTATGGCTGGGCATTCCTGGAAGTGTGGAGAGAGGCTCTCTGTTCTTCCACTAACCCTGCCCACGTCAAATGATTTGTGAGTGTGCAACGAAATTGCTGGCTCCCAGAGGATGAATTGGTATTTATTTTAACAGCCACATCAAAGCATCTCATTGATCTCGTTTAACTGAACTTCAGGAGTAGTAAGGAAATCAACCTGGGTGAGTAATCCTGTCTACAGCCAGAACTTACCAAGCAAGATTATAGGTTAGCCATTGGACAACAAAATTGCTTTCAACTTTAATCTTGTACACATTGATAAATTGGAAAGACTAATATAATCATTGAATCACAAATTTCAGGGAGATGAAGATGGGGCAGAATATTAAATATAACACACAACAACTCATTCAGCAGGCTAAATGGTATAGAGCAAAATCATTTCCACTTGACATATATCAACGTAGTTGCTAAGTAGACTTATCTTCCTAAATGTTAAGTGACTACATATACCTGAGCAATGCCAAGTGATCATTAAAGGATAGAAAAGGAATGTAGGAAGCCTGCTAAGGTTCAAGAATTGTTCTATGAGCGTGGGACCTGTGCAGTCACACACGGTCTCATGCTGGATTTAATGCTCTGCTGTCATCACCTTGAAATTCTTTATAATTTTTGCATAAGAGGTCTACATTTTCATTTTGCACTGGGTGGGCCCTGCAAATTATGCAGCCAGTCTTGCTGGCATACAAACCAGTAGGGACCACAGACTATTTGAGGAGCAAAGAGAAGCGCATGGCCTGCTCAGAAGACTTACTGGTAAGCCAGGAGGTCCTGGGTCCCCTCTGTCACCCTGCAATAATAATGATACATTGTTTTAGCAAAGCTACACCATTATCCTAAAACACACGTGATGTAGAAGTAGAAATACACACAGGGATTATTTGGATTGCCCAACTGTGCAGTCTGTTCAACTTCTCAGTGTTGAAAAGACAACTGTGGAAGGGCTCTACGCAAGTAATGTTCTGTATTCACTCTGGGGCTCTGAATTCTGCTTCTGTTCTGCCAAAACTTTCTCTAGATTGCTGGGGTCCTGATGACATGGAACCAAGATGAGATTTCATCTTTCAATTTAAATTGTTCTAAATTCTCAATCTGATGGCTTCATTTCATCAGGTTAACCATCCCTGGTCTAATTGCCAGACCTCGCCTCCCTAATACACACCACTCCTTTTGATCACCCTAGTGTAGATGGAAAGGGAATTCATGTGGAAATTCTCTCACATCCGCGTCTGTGCGGATCCACCACTTTGAGACTCTGCCCTGAGACTCTATTTACTTTCAAGGATCAAAGGGTGTACTTCTCTTGAAGACAGGCTCTTTGTAAAAAATGTAAAACGTAATATATCATAAAATTTACATAAGGTAAAAATTAACATTTTAATCACTTTTAAGTGTACAGTTCTGCAGCATTAAGTACATTCACATTGTTGTGCAACCATCACCACCATCCATCTCCAGAACTTTTTCATCTTCCCCAACGGAAACTCTGCGCCCATTGAACACTAACTCCCCATCCGCCTCCCCCCAGGCCCTGGAAAGCATGATTTTATTTTCTGTCTCTGTGAATTTGACTCCTCTAGGAACCTCTTATAAGTGGAATCACACATGAGTTGTCCTTTTGTGACTGGCTTATTTCACTTAGCATAATGTCTTCAAGGCTCGTCCATGTTGTAGCCTGTGTCAGAATTCCCTGCCTTTTTTAAGGCTGAATAACATTGTGCTGTATGTGTGTAGCACATTCTGCTTATCCATTCACCTGTCAGTGGAAACTTGGGGTGCTTCCACCTTCTGGCTGTTGTGAATAACGCTACCATGAACATGAGTGTACAAATATCTGATTGAGTCCCTGCTTTCATTTCTTTGGGGTATATACCTAGAAGTAGAATTTCTGGATCACAGAATAATTCTACATTTAATTTTTTAAGGAATCCCCATACCATTTTCCACAGCAGCTGCACCATTTTACATTCCCAGCAATGCACAAGGGTTCCAATTTCTCCACATAATTGTCAACACATTATTTTCTGTTTGTTTGGGCTTTTTAAACATATAATTACCATCCAAATGGTGTGAAGTGGATACAGGCTTTTAAGAGCATTGTTTCTCAACGATTATTGATCAGCAGACCACATTTTAGGGATCGTCTGTTTCTCTTTAAGATGAGGAATTTTCTGTATCCATCTCCCCTTCTACCTCTCTTGTTCTTTCTTGCTCAATTACAAAAATCTACTCACCATAACTAATACATACAGTACTTTATAGTTTACCACCTGCTGCAGTGTAAATTATTATAACAAATCATCAGCACCGAGAGGAAGGCTGATTAGATGTTGTTTTAATTTTCTTTCACAAATAAGGCGTATGAGGCTCAGAGGGGTTTAGAGAGTTGTTTAAAGTCATAGCAGTAGGTAAAGGTAAGTCCTCTCCTCTGATACAACATACTGGTTCCTAGAATGACTGTGCTTTTGACGCTCTTTATTAATATATCACTTAAGCTATGAGGAAAAGCATCGTTCTTGCTGTTTAACAAGTATAAATACGCACAGAGACTACAAACAAATACTACAAGCTCAGTAAAGAGATAACCCCTCCAGGGGGCAGGGAACTCAGGGTCTAGTGGAAGCAATCTAGGACTAGTTTCATCTAATTGTTGTGGAATATTCCTCCTTCAGAGAAATGACCATATCTTGCCAATGTACTACATTTCTTCCCTTGATTTATCATATCTAGTGCTTATCTGTGGCTATTCATATTAGAGAGATGAAGTGGCCCCGCAAAAGTTTATTTCTGAACATGTGTATATCATTCTCTGGTAAAACACAAAAGCATTTAATTTACCAAGGATATTCCTATCTGTTTTCCATAATTTTCAAGTTCAATAATGATGACTTCTATTATACTGGATGACAAGTATTAATGTTACACTATTTTAACTACAAATAAATGAATGGTTCTCAACTGGGAGTGATTCCCCACCTCAGGGGACATTTGGTAATGTCTGGAGATATTGTGGGGGCTCGGGGGGTACTAGTGGCATCTAATGGGTAGAAGCCAGAGATACTGTTCAATATCCAACAACGCACAGGTCAGCCCCCACAACAAATGATTATTTGGCCCAAAATGTCAATAGTGCCAAGGTGGAGAAACCCTGAAATAAACATATCCATGGCAACTCGGCAAGACTAGCTGGGAGGGAGTGGAATTCTACAGCCAGAGCAACTAAAGCCAGCCCTTCAGCAAGAAGTATGGTGCCATCCCAGAGGGCCAGGGTGAGGATAAAAACCAGCGTGCTCGGGACACTTCCAGAAAAATCTCAATCTGTGTTTCCTGTGTGGGTTTACCTATGTTTTTTAAGTCACCACAATCATAGTACTTACCTGAATACCTTTAATGGCACCAAAAATGAAGACTGAATTTCCTTTTTCTCCATTTGCCCCAGGAAGGCCCTGAAAATAAAATATTCACTTAAGAGGGGAAAAGAAAGCATATTAATATTTCAGTATTTTCTTTTTTTTATAAAATATTACTCACCAACAAAATTACCATTATAATCATATTTCACTAGTGGAGATTTCTTTATTCTCTTCATTATTATCATCCTAAGGTTCTCATATATATTTATTCAATATTCGCTTAACATCTACTAAGGAATCTCCTTAGATAGGATACCTAGTAATCTAATATTATATTATATTGTATTATATTATATTATATCATATTATATTTAAATATATTTATAACTACTAATTATTCAGCAGGAAAATTGCATTTTTCCTCACAACATAATGCATATAATACTCATATTATTCTTATAAGTAAACAATTTTTCTCACGTCAGTTAATATTTTACACCCTAGAGATAGTAAAAAAATTGATTTTGTCCATTTCAGTATTCGTATTCGAAACAGAGCCTATGTATCCTTTCTAAGATTAACTTTTAAAATACGTCACATGTTCCTTTTGGAAAGTTTGAGTATGTGGATGCAAGTTTGTTTACTTAGAGTATTTTTAAAAAGTGAACGAAATATCTCAATATATTCTTTTGTTCTTCAAAGTTTTCCTACTTGCTATCTTAATCTCCTACTTAATATCTTAATACATCTTAACTTGGTTACCACATAAAAATTCTACCATCTGCAGGGGCTGCCCGTGGCCAAGTGGTTAAGTTCGCACGCTCCACTTCAACGGCCCAGAGTGTCACTGGTTCAGATCCTGGGCGCAGACACGGCACCACTCATCTGGCCACACAGAAGAAATAGAATGACTTGCAACTAGGATACAAAACTATGTACTGGGGCTTTGGGGAGAAAAAAAGAAAAAGAGGAAGATTGGCAACAGATGTTAACTCAGGGCCAATCTTCCTCACCAAAGAAAAAAATTTAAAAAAATAAATTCTACTGTCTGCAGATATCAAGCTCCTACAAAGGGCATACGAATTTCAAAGTTAACCCTTAGAAGAGTGCCTGACTTTGCTTCCAATGGGAGACACTTCACAGTTTTATGGTAAATTACATCAACAGTTTCCTTGAGAAATCAGATTTGCCTATACTGTATAGGCAATCCCTCCTTCACACAGTTCCAATATGCATGAATTTTGCTTCCACAGTTAAGTTAAATTGCACCAGTCCTCCAACAAACTGGTTCAAACTTCAGTTACCACTGGGTATTAACTGAGTAACTGCATACAATACACACTTCACTGCTAGCTCATCAGTCCACAGATCACTACATAAGTAACAGATTCAAATCAGATCACTAATGGATCATATCACTCCTTTCAAAGTCTGTCATTGACTGGCCCCTGCAGATCTGTTAGTTCACACACACACACGGACAGCAAAGTGTGTAGTTGTGTTGCCCCTTATCTCCCAGTGATAAACCCAAATGACACTTCATAAAAACAGATCATTGAAAGAGAGAATTGGCCAAGAAAGATGAAAAATGAAGTGAGGAAATGAAAAATGATAAGGTTGGAGATGAAACTCAAATAGAATGTACATGGACTCACAGAAGAAATAGCTAATGGTGAGAATGTTGACACTGCTGTCATTCGAACCAGAGGAGCTAGTGCAGACAAACTTATCAACGTAAAAGGAGGAAGTGGTTGTGACAAAAAGGATGAAGATGTGCCAGAGGAAGTGACACAGGCAAAAGAACGTCATGTTAAAGGAACTCAGAAATATTTCACAACCCTGCAAGCTGACCCAAACTTAGAAAAGAGTACAATTCACCAAAAAATAAAAAGCACGTTCACTCCATACTCCAAGTTACACGACAAGAAGGCAAGCTATTCCAACTACCTTGATCAGTTTTTATAAGGCAATCAAACACTTTAATTCTTAATGTTCCTAATGTATTAAATTATAATGTACTAAATAAATACTATTTTTTTAAATAATTTCCCTATATATTTATAACCGAAAGTAAGAGAGTTTTTAATGTTTTAACAAAACATTTTAAAGGTCATGAGACAATAGTAACGTTTCCCATTGGAGGTTAAGGTTGCTCTGTGTGGTTTCAGCTTGCATGGTCATTCTTGAAGTTTCACACTACTGTGCACAGTGAGGGCTGCCTGTATGTGAAATGGGTCAAAGGAAAGAAAGTTGCTTTGCAAAGAAATCGTTATGACAAGCTTCAGTGTTGTGGTCAGTACTGCATGCTGTGTTACAGCTAAAATTGAGAAGCCCTGCTCTCTTGAATGTTCATGGACACGCAGTAGAATGAGGTTTGACCCAATTTGAAGATCTTAACAAATGTGCATTCACCAGATGGCACTCGAGCCTTCAAATGCCTGAGTTTGAGAACAAAGGGTAGTTGAGAAGCTTAACAATGAAAGCTGGTTGCTCTTACTTGATACCACAAAAAAGATGTGAACATGGAAGTTCTTTTTGAGTACTGTATTCAGATCAATTCTACTATGATTTGGAGCAAAAGGAAAATTTGTGACAAGAAAGCAGGATGACTACGGTGGAATGCTGGGAAGTGATATTTTTTAGAGAAGTGAAAAGGCTGAAAAATAGTCACAGAAAATCCGGAAAAGGCTAAATCATCTCCAACCTTTAATTAAGTGAGAAAAAGGAAAAGAAACAGAGGGGAAGGAAATATAAGGGGTAGAGAAAAGGGTAGTTCTTGTTGAAGTTATGTTTAAATGAAAGTTCAAATTTCTGGGGAAAAAATAAGAGCAGTAAACTTTTCTCAAGTGCTGGATATTGTCAACTGTTTCTGGACCTCCACTCCAAATCACTTCCATTTGTCTTTTTGTATTATGGAGACTAGAAAGCTAAAAACTACGTTTCCAAGACCCTTTGTGGCTAGATGCAAATTAGGTTCCACCTGGGAGAGGTACTTAGGAAATTTGGAAGGCGGAAGTGAGGAATGCATCCTCTTCCTGCTCCTTTTGTTGTTGCCAAGCAGGAAGGTAGAAACTTGAGGTTTATTTGCTGATGTCTCGACATGAAGATGAGAGGCAGTGATTATGGTGTAGAAACAGCCTCCTGACTTCTGGATCTCAGTTAAGTGTGAGCCCTTGAAATCAGTCGTCTCATGGTGGCCCCTGAGTTCCACTCCTCCAACCATTACAATAAGCGCCAAATTCCCTGTATTAAATTCCTTTCTGTGTGAAATACCTAGAGAGGTTCACATGTGTGCAGTGAATGTTTAATGACAAACAACATAAGTTTTGCTCACAGGCCTCCCTGCTCTCTTCCCCTATCCACTCTCTGTAGAGCAGCCAGGAAAATCTTAAAAGAATATCAATCAGATCATGTCACTTCCTTAAAACTATCCAGTGCCCTCCCATGGCATGCAAAAGAAAATCCAGCTTCCTTCCACAGTCTACAAGGCCCTGCCCAGTTCTATGTCCTGCCCAGCTCTCTGTCCTCATTCTTGGTCACCCTCATGTGTTCACCATGCTCCCAGCACATCTGTAACAACTCTGTTGCTTGAACACATCAAGCCTTATTCCCACTGTAGGACCTTTTCATTTAAGATTCCCACTAGGATGAACTGTAGGTGTCTTACTGGGGGGCCTCCTGGGCCAGGAGCGCCTCTTTCTCCTGGAAGCCCTGGATCACCTCTTGAGCCATTGTAGCCATTTATGCCAGGTGTGCCTCTGGGTCCAGGAGGGCCTGGGTGCCCCTACAGGAAACAAAATTTTAGGTGAAGCATTTTTGCCCAAAAACTATAACACAAAGGTTATGCAAATATGGGGACCCAAATTATGGCAATTGTGACTCACATGTTGTTTAATTTTGTGAAATGTCCTCTCTACCCACAAGTATCATGTAGAATAGTAAAAATAAATAAATAAATTTTAATGCACCCAATTTAATTTAATTAATTTGGAGTATTCCAGAAGATTTGGAAGAAACCTTCCTTGAAATCCTTAGACAGACTCTAATGAATTGTAAAGCACCCAAAATACCTCTTTCTTCTTTCATTTGATTTTCATATCAGAAATGAGAGTGTTGAGCCCACTTCCACTGTTGGGACTTACCAGCAAATAAAAACTTTCATTATGAGTATACATTTATTTCCAGAACATTGTACTTGACATGTCAAGTATATCTAGCTCCAATTTTTGGTTTTCTCTAATCTGTTTGAAAACCTTGCTCTTCAAGTAAAGCGTTTTGGTCTTGGAGTTATTACTATACAAAATTGAAATGCAAGCACCCTTTCACACACTAAAATTAGAAAATAGTGAAAAGTTTGTCCTATATATGTATTTTTTGAACATGCAATTTTAAGGGTTTTGATGAGTGTTTGTCCCTTATTTAAAAAAGATGGAGAAAATTTACAGATACTTACAGGTATGCCGTCTAAACCTGGAAATCCGGGGACACCAGTTGGACCCTAAAATCCCAGAAAATAAAACAAAGACATAAAAGTTACTAAATTATTAGATTAACAAGTTGATTTACTTGAAAACAAGAATAATTAATAACTCTTTTAAAAAACACTTAGCAGTCACTGTCACCTATCTTTACATTAATGAGCTTAAATACTAACCCTTAAGAATCAACCTTTTGTACTTTTCTTTTTGTATTGAGGAAGCCAGCTTGGCAGTATCAATTCAAATAAAACATTCAACACCCTATAAGCCAGAAATTCAACTTCTCAGAATCCATCTATCCTAGACAAACAAACCCCTAAATGTGCACACAGGTAATTTATAGGATTACTTTTGCACATTTGTGCTACACAATGAGGGGTAGGATCTCAAATTCTCAACAGGGAATAAACTATAGTTTTATCCATACTATGGCACAATATGCAGTATTTTTAAAGGAATAAGTTCAATCTACATAAGTTGATATGGAATGATCTCTAAGCCATACGATTGAGTAAAAAAAGAAAGACTCAGCATAATATATAATATTTTTAGGTTCTTTAAAAAGCCATAAAATAATACCATAACTGCTTGCTGTGCACACTCGTGTATTTAAGTGCAAAGAAAAGGTCTAGAAAGGCATGCTCCTTTGGAAAGGGGTTAGGGAATGAGCGCTGATTAAGGAAGAGGAGCTGAGACTTGATTTATTACAAGGTGCGAGTGGTAATACGTGTGATTATAAAAAATATGGCATAGTGGTGCTGGTGAGTGGTTAACATGAATCTTTTACTTAAGAATAGACTTACCTTATCTCCTTTGTCACCTGCTGCTCCAGGAGGGCCACTGTCACCTCTCCTCCCTTTCTCTCCTGGAATTCCAATGGGTCCTGGAGGTCCCAGGGGTCCAATAGGGCCCTGCAACCCTGGGAGTCCGGGTTGACCCTAAGAAAAAAGATTTAAAAAGGGGGGTTGATTCCTAAGTAGCATCTTCTAACAAAAATATATGGTCACTTGAGCTTAGAGAAGACTGAAATGTTAGAGTTTGAGCAGATTCTAATAATAGAAGCACAAATGATCAATTAATTACAAAAATAAGAAACAGCAACGCTGCCTTTTTCAATCTGAACTTGTCATACGATAAATTTTAATTACTACGTGTGAGTACACACACACACACATAAACTGATTAGAGTTCTCTTACTATTTTCATTCTGTCAATGACATTGATAAATCCTGAGCTGTTTAGTGAAGCAAGGAACTTAAAAAAAAAAATCAAAGACTTATTACCAGTACATTAGTGATACTAGTGAAGAGTGGGGAAAAACAGATCTTTTATTTACTTCAAATGGCTAATGATCTGTCTGCCCTTTTAGGAGGAAACATTTCTTTTTCATCTGCTTTTACTTAATTTCTTGTTCATAATTTGGAAGCAAGTTCTCCACGCCACAATCCAACTTTCCATGAATGAAAAGGTCACCTCTTATTTTAGGTGAAGTTTCATTAGCTCAGATCTCCCCCGCACCCACAGTGGGAACGCTTCTGGCACAAAGATGAGGAACTCCCTTTTGGCCTGTTCTGTGTTGCATTTAGACAGACTGACACTGAATTAATGCTCAGTTCTTGCCTATGAGAGGCGGCTGCGGGTCTCATAGCTCTTTCCATTCCGGACTAAGGAAGTTTAGCCTCTGAGGAGCACGCTCCCTTGTCCTCCATGAGATTGCTCCCATCTCTCTCTCCACAATCCCCACATGCACGGTTCCCTCCAGGACTGAAATGTTAAATGCCACAGATTCCAATACCCCTACTTCTATGTCTCAGCTCAGCCTTCTCCTCCAGCTTCCAGATGATCATACCTCGCTGCTTCCTTAACATCTCCTTGGGTACAATGGAACCTCCAGCTTAAAAAAAAAAATTCAAGATGGAACTCTTGATTTTGCCCCCAGATCTGATTCTCCATCTACCTTCCCCGTCTACCCATTTAACCCAGCCAGAATCCTGGGAGTCATCCTTAATATACTTCTTTCTGTCATCTTTACATTTAATACATGATCCATTGGTACCATTTCACTTCCGAAATAGATCTGCAACTCACCCACCTCACTGTCTTGCTGCTGATGGAGTAGGCTCCAGGGAGCCTACTGCCCTGGCCTCCTAAATGGTCTCCAGCTCCCTCTACTCTCCTCCAAGCGTCACTCCACACAACAACCCCAGTGACGCTTAAACAGAAGTCAGATCACGACACTGCCTGCTTTTTCAAACCCTTCCTCGTCTTCTCACTGCTTGGAGAATAAACCTCGTGCTTCTTACCTTCCAGGCCTTCCAGGGTGTGACCCCAGATTCCCTCGCACCCACATGCTGTGCCCACCCCACACTCACTACTTCCCACCACACGGCTCTTCCCATCTTACGGCCTTGTATATGCTTTCCCTCTGCACTGCTCTTTCCCCACATCTTCACATGTCTTGGATCCCAGCCATACTGCCACCTCCTTAGAGGCCTTCCTGGACCTCCCCCTCCAGTGAAGTAGGCTCTCCAACCATTCCCAACCCCATCAGTCTCGATTACAGCATCCTGTCCATTTCTGTCTTAGCATCTTAGCGTTTCCTATTTTTAAATTATGTGTCTGCTCCTCAGTTTATTGTTTGCCTCTCCAATTAGATATGAGCACAATGAGGGCAGGGATATTTGCTCCCCAGTTAAGCCTCCCATCTCCCATAGGCTTTGGCTCAGGAAATTCCTTTCAAATAAATAAGGGATAGATGGACTGGCAGCGGCGATGCTCACAGGCCGAGCCTGACCCCCCATCTGACTGGACACACTCCACCTGGGCCCTGTGTAGTTGGGAAAGTTATTTTTGAACTTTGAAAAAAGTAATTCTATCAAAGGTAACCTTTATGACATATAAATTTATTTTATACATTCAAACTTACTTTTTACAAAATAATCAATGTACAGGAACAAGGATTGAATGAACTCAAAAATCTAAAATCAGGGTTTCTAAATGACACTTCTAGACTCAACATTCAATCTCTGTCTGTAATTTGATGTGGGTAGAGTGTGTCTTTGATTCTGATGGTTTTTTAAGTAACTCACTTTGTAATCTTAGGACAATATCCTACATTAAATAAAGAGAAGCTTCATAACGAGAAGCTTCTAACAAGGCTTTCACCGATGCAAGGTGATTCGGCCACACAACCCCAGGCACTGTGGTGTCTAATGTGTTCAGTTGTGCTGTCTAACACATTTCAGAGTCCATGCTGTATTTCGTTACAGTTTGAAAACATCCTTGGTATTGATTTGAAGCCAGATGTTCACCTGTAATTTTCTGTGCTTTTTAAAACTTTCCAAAGATTTAAGAAAAATTATTTTATACCCCTTTACCCCCTCAAACAAGATAAATAACTGCATTTGATGAGCAAGTAAATCTTGGTATGTGGAGAGAAAAGCTAAATGGATTTCAGGAGATATCTGCTTAGATCAGATCTCTTAAACTTCTGGGCAATTTTGAATAATTAGTGCTGAACTCCAACAGTGCACAGGACCACATACAAGAATATAGGGCTGCCCCTTGGAGGTTCAGGTCCCAGGGCAATGTATATTTTGCAGAGCTGCATCTACATAAAAATCTGAGTCATCTGAAATCAGTGCATCAGCACCATTCTGGTGACCCAATCTCATGCAATCCCGTGAACAAAATCCAGCACTGGTAAGTGGAAATGTTCTGTTAGCCAGCCATCCCCCCGAAACCAGGGCTCAGCCATGAGGCTCCAGACTAGCCCAGAAGTAAGAAACCCAGAGCTCCTCATGTGGACAGCTCCACATTGGATAAAGGGTCAGAGAGCACCAGGAAGAAAAGAAACAGACCCTGGGACCCACCCAGTTCTGGTACACACTTGAGGAGCACCTGACAGGGCTGCTGGCCTTGGTCAGGCCCAGACACAGGAGAGAGACAGGGTGGTGCCCTGCCTGAGGAATGGGGCCCAAAGGCAGGAAGAGCCTGCTTGCCCTGGTTTAAGGACAACGGCACAAGGATATTCACTGCAACATTATTCATAATTTCATGACAAACTGGAAATCCCATAAAAGTCTGCCCAAATGAGACTGATTGAGTAAGTTATGGCACCTTCATACAATGGAACACCACACACAGCCTGTCTTAGTCTGGGTGCCCCAGAAGCAAAATGCAGGATGAGGAGTCAATGCACACAGTATGTTTGAAAATCAAAGAGATGGGGGGAGGAGGCAGGGATGCGACACAGAGAAGGGAAGGCAGCCAATGAGAGTCCAGTATCAAGCCAGTTACCACTGTGTAGGCCTGAGGGAAATGCACAGGGCCGGGACATTAAAGAGACTGAGGTAGACCTGTCTGGGCCTACGTACAACATCCTCGTGATGCTCATGAGAAAGAAACAAAGTGACAGTTTCCAGGCTCTGCAGCCAGCCCCCTGCATCTGAAGCCCAGGCCCACACTTACTAGCTGTGTGGCCCTGGACATGTTTCTTAACCTCTCTGTTCCTCAGCTTCTTCATCTGTCAGTGGCTCGTGGACATAAAAAGAATAATGCAGGTAAAGTATTTAGCATAGTTCCTGGCATGATAATGCTAACTATTGTCATTACAGATTATTATTACTTTTAATAGTTCAGTGTTAAATGGAAAAAAGCAAGCCATATGTCATATGATCCCACCTGTAGAGAAACAAAAGGAAATTTTCTCTAAATATGTTTTTATACATGAACATTTTTAGAAGGATATACAAGAAATGGCATACTGTCGTGTCTCAGGAGTGAAAATTCAAGCCTGGGCGACGTTACATACTATTTTGCGAGCATCTTACCATCAGCAAACATGACTTTTATAATAAAAATTAATTACCATTTCTCTTTCACCATTAAGTTATTGACTCAACAAACATTATTGACTCGACTCAACTACAAATCAAAATTGTCCTTTATTTGTACTTTCCCTTTTCTTCATGCTTTTTCATCAATGTCATAATAGCTACTATTTATTGAGTATCCATACAAATACTAAGACCTTAGAATTTTCAAGGAAGCTTAAATGTATAAATATTTGTTACAAAAAAGACAACAATAACATATGAAATATAATTATACGGGCACAAACCATTTGGGGGCATTTTGAGGGCAAATCAATTTACTCTAGATATTGCATGAATTCTAAAGCACAATCTAAAAGTAAGAATAAATAATGACTTCAGCAGACCGTTTGTACCTACGTTAATTGATCTTACTTACTTACTTAACATAAGTTAAAAACTCCCATTTTTCCTAAATATAAGGCTCAGGAAATAACTGCTTTTTTTATTAAGTTTGGGAATTATCTTTTCATCTTGCATGTAATTTATAGGAAAACTCCTCAAATTATCTTTTGTGAATGCTGTACTTTACAATAATGTATTACTTAGAAATATAATGAAATGCACCTTCAAACATAAAAGGGTAACTGAGAAAGAGCCAATTAACCAGCTATAAATCTCTTTAACGTGTTTTGTTTTAGACACGCAACGCTGAATCCAGTGAGCTAATGGAACTTTGGGGAGGAAAAAGAAGGAGTGGAAATGTTTAACACAGCAGTAAAAATGACAAAACTCCATTCAGTATAGAAATGTGCCCTGATCTGAGAAAGTGCCATCTAAAACACTTTTGAAAAGACATAAAACAAGGACTGGTTATTTGCATTATTTAATGACACCGATCCCCCTTTGGTCCCCATCTGCTTCCTCCTCCTCTGCCCCGGATCTGTCACACCGACTTCCTTGTCATTCCTGAATGAGCTCTGTTCTGTTCTTTCACAGACTTGGGTGTCCTATCAGGAGTGTCCCTCCTATTCACCCCAAGTCATCTCTCAAGATGACCCCCCCGATCTCCTGCCCTCCCCCCAACACCCCCTTCAGATTAGATGCCTCTCCAAGATGCCTCT